TTTTTTTAAGTAGAGACAGGGTTTCACCATGTTGGCCAGGCTGGTCTCGAACTCCTGACCTCAGATGATCCACCCACCTTGGCCTCCCAAAGTGCTGGGATTATAGATGTAAGCCACCGTGCCTGACCCGCAAGAGTTTCTTATAAGTAGCTTTCCCATTATTTGCTTGTCAGGAAGGCAGGGAAGGGCCTCTCATTTCAACGACATGGTAGGCAATAAAAGTTCTTTGGGGACACTGGAAAAGGGAAACCAAGGATATAAGAAACCCACCCAGTCTTTTCAGTGTCCTTGTTACTTCACATCTGCCCCGAATGCCCATGAATACTTCTTTTTAGGCGACTAGTTATCCAAGGGTTGGTAATTTTAGTACTTTTGAACCTTGATGATCCAAGGAGCACGGCCCAGGTGTTCCCAAATAAAGATGCCTTTGGGCAGGAGGCCCAGAATGCCACTCTAAGTGGCCAGCTGCCCCTCTGCACCTTCCTCTTTTCTGCCTGAAGGACCTTTGATTTCCCTGACTTGGCATTCTGTGCCAGGGACGGCTTCCCACAGCTGCTATTGAGAGTGCAATCCTAGCAAGCATTCTTCTCCACGTGTTTCTCCCCCAGTAATGAGCTGGCTAGTATGTAAGCCATGGCATAAATGGTTTTCATTTTCTGACTCATGCACCAGTAATGCCTTTGAAGTCAGGACACACTGCTTCCCAAAGAACTCTGACATTCTCTGCCTCAATTGCACTCAGAGGTCGTGTCTGGAAAAACCCAGCAAATCCCCACAGGAAGGAGCGTACATGGAGGCACTGAAGCCAATGTGGATTGGCTGAGTGTGAAGAGTCAAGGAAGCTCTAGAATTGAGAAAGAAGAAGCATTGGGACACTCTCGAGCTGATGTTATCTGCCTTAAGCTTCTGTACTCCCCCTGAATCTATATCCCGTTGGCTTGGGGCTGCAGCTGTTTGCTGGCAGAGTTACTTCAGACTGGTATTTAGCACCTGTTCCCTTGAAACAATGGCACTTAATAGTCCCTCAACTCTACTTGCTTATTTGACCCTGGCACTGGGCCCTAGGGAGACAAGAACAAATAAGAGATGTTTCTAAACTCAAGGCATTTAGTTTTAATAGGGAGAGACAGAAAAGTAAAGCATCAAGTGAAAAATGAAGTGACAAGAACTCATTTACATGTCTGCACAGAGGACAGGGATGAAGTCAGGGTCTTTGAAGAGATACTTGAATTGAATCTTAATTGCCAAGAAATATTTTCTTGTTCTCTACATGTTCCCTTTTTGGTTCCATCCAACTCTTGTTTAATGAGGCAGTATCATTTTGTTTCTCATTTATCTGTCCAGGGCTATTATTTATATATTGTTTTCAAACTTCTTGCTATATACTATTTCTTCTAAATTGCTAGTTTTAGTCTTGGTCTTTCATATTAGACCTTTCCTTTAAATGCCTAGTAATCCTTTGCTGCCTGTTCACACTTTAAAGTGAGGCACTAAAAGATTCTGTATCAGCTGTGGCCTTCACAATAGGGTGTTCTAAGTGGGCTGTGTCCTTGTGGAAGCTCCAACATCAGTATTTCTAGGTCTGTTATCTTGGATGGTCATATTGCCAAGAGAACACACTTTCGATCTCCCACTCATGTCTGGGGGCTGAGTTGTGAAGAGGCCTGGACCATCTCAACATTTAACATAGACTTTTCAGCTAATCTTCCTGTTGAAGTTCAGTATACCCCTATCCTCAGCGAAACCTTGTATCCCCTAGTCCATGGACCCTCTCTAATAAAATAAACCTCTCATCTAATCTTTCACTACAGTGGGAGAGGGGATGTGGGGTCTCACTGTTCTCAGACTTTTAATAGCTTCTTCGGTGTTTAGCTTTACCTTCATCCCACTGCCACTTCTTTCTTTTCGGGCTTCTGTGATTTAAATCTGATTGCTTCTTGGCTCACTCTAGTTTTGGTTTAGGACTCAAGTAGATCGGTTACTACCCGCCTATCTGCTTTTCAGCTTCTGCTTTCATTCGTTTTGTTTTGCTCAGTTTATACCTAAAAGATAATTTTAAAAACTTTTTTTTTCTATTATTTTAGTGTGGCCATCAGAGGGAGCAGAGCTAAATACATGAATTCAGTATTTAGTTTTTCAAAGTAAAGTAGAATGTTCTCCGTAGAATTGAGAGTTTAGATTTTTTGATTTTTCCCCATAGTTTGTATTTGCCTCACTATCTATATATAGATAGATGTATGTATATGTATATCTATATGTATACTTATCTATTCATATACATATATGTACAGCTTTGTCTAAGACATAGATATGTAGAAACACATACATTTATATATGTATATAGATATATATAAGTCTTTCTCTAAGTCCTATCTTGACTATAAATATATATTTATAAATATAAATATTTTATATATGTATATCTATATATACATACATATTTCTCTAAGTCCTATCTTGAATTTCCTATTTTCCCGATTGTTTTGGCATCACTTATTTAAGCTTCAGCTTCTGGGTACCTCAGTTTTCTCTTGAGCTGGAAGGCACTAATAATGCTTCTTCCATATTTACCCAGAAGAGAGATTGTGCCACTCAGTCATTTGGGCAACCACTTTGTAAAACCACTATTGTGTATGTGACATATTTCTCCACTGTCAGAAGAGAACACAAAAGAAGTGGAGCTTACCCTGAAGAATGTATAGCTTCTTAGACAAAGTAGTGTTTTACTATCTTTTAACATGACAGTTCTTTAAGTTTTTTAGGGAAAAGGAACAATGTACGTTGTGATTTTTGTTACTTCATTTGTTGACTTGGTGGCACTATTTTTTGACCTTTTTTAATTTCATGTTTATTCATAGTGTTTCCTCTTTATCATGCACCTTCATTAAATAGGAAATCACTTTAAAAAAAGAAAAAGGATTCACTTTTGTAACTGTTCACTAAGCTTTTGAATCCCATGGTCAGATTCAGGTAAAAGAAGAGAAAAAAAGGAGCCTCCTATACACTTCACCCGGGATAACAGATGCCTCTTTTCCACTTCTTAGTCAACCTGGAAAGCTGGGGATCTGTTTGAATTACTTAGAAAGGCTTTTAAATGCCATTGGTTGTTAAATATTGTTTCTTCTGTATAGAAAGTATGAAGGGTATTACCCTGGTAAAATTTATGGGAAGTATTGTTAGGTTCAGAAAAAGGTGAAGCTAATTTAAAACATTCTGCATCCAAAATGAGACATAATTTAGACTCTGATGTACTTTGATTTTGTCAGTGTTCCAATATTCTTTATTCCTTCGTCTGCCTCCAGCTGATCATAGGGGCTAGATTAGTATACCCACGAAGTCTTTCTAAGTTGGGTTTTCTCAACTTCAGCATCATTGATTGACATTTGGGCCAGATAATTATTTGTTGTGGGGGGCTGTCTTGTGCATAGGATGTTCAGCAGCATCCCTGACCTCTACGCGGTAGATGCCAGTAGCAATCCCCAAGTTGTGACAATCAAAAATGTTTCCAGACACTGCCAAATTTCCCCTGGGGGCCAACATAGTCCCCAGCTGAGACACTGCTCTAAACTCAAGTTCATAAATGGAACCCGTTTCTCTTTTCAGGAATATCTTGATCATATTTTTTTAACCTTTAACCTTTCCTCCCAACCAATTCAGCTCCATTCCTATCCAAAGGAGAGTTGGTGTTGCTTGGTGGCTAAGAATGTAGTCTTTGGAGTCTGACAGACCTGGGTTTGAATCCTGATTCCGCCGTTTCCTCATTGTATGATCTTGGGTATAATAATTACTCTCTTTGAGCCTTATTTCCTTATCTTTAGACATAGAAATAATAGCATTGTCTTTCACAGAGTTGTTGTAAGGATTAAATGAGGTAATGTACATAAAGCCCCTGGCACACAGCATTTATTAAGTGGTAGAGATTAATAATAATATCGTACTTTGCACTCCTCAGTTGCTCAGCACCCCCCCAAACACACACACGTGTACACACACGCACACATCCACCCAACTTCTACTCTGTAATTCTCTCTCTCAAAGAAATCTCATGGCATCACACTTTCAGCGCTCTTCAACTCCCTATGTGGAAACAGAAAGCTCCCACGGAGTAGAGCATGCACTAGCTGGCTAGAAGTAGTGTGTGTAGGACTGGAAACAAGCTTGAGCTCTGGACTTCCTGGCTTCCCTGTTACGAGAAAGGATTGGACTCCTAGACAGTTGCTTTGATGGAAAATTTGAAAATTACATCCTTCACCTTTTATACTACTTCCCTCCTGTGGCAATTCTGGTTATACTTGATTTGGATTTTATTCCTTCATAGACTCTTACCTGAATTGTTATGAAGGCTTACAGTCTTCATAGGGTTGTTGTCTAGATTGTGGAATTGCCATAAGGATGGAATGAGAAAATATGTGTGTGTAGTACTTGGCATAAAGCCAGGAATATACTAAGTGCTCAGTAAATGATAACTGGCATTGTGATTGCTGCTGCCACTCTAGTTGCTGTGAGAGGGTGTTTGATCTGGATAAAGCAGAACCGACAGATCCCCAGAATACCAGGCCAGTAGAAAGAGCTTTTAGAACCTTTTCCTCTTCCCTGTTTTACATCTGAAAGGTACAGAAAGCATAGGCTACTCCATAGGCTGCACTGTTTCCTTCAGGGTTCCTGACCAGCCTGGGAACTTTGCCCTTGGGGTCTGAGAGTGGTGGTGTTGTTTCCTATCTACTTAGTATTACGAGGTGACTAAGTGATAGAAATCACCTGGCCTATATTAAAGAGCCATTATTACAAATGATAATGCATAGAAGTAAAGACATGATGGATAAACATAAAGTTATTTCAATAAGAGGAAATGTTGGTTCAGTTCACATATTGCTTTCCTATGCTTTGGAGAGGTCTTTCATATGTATTTGCCGAACCAAACACTTCTGGATTTTTCCCTTAGGGTTGTGAGGATATTGCTTCATGGGGGAGAGGTCCAGCTGAGTCTGTTAGTTTGTGAAGCAGAGAATTGACCCCATTGGCTTGACCTCTGGGGGTGGGGGTGGGCGATGTCTTGCAGGTCATGAAGACATATCACATGTACAATGCCGACAGCATCAGTGCTCAGAGCAAACTAAAGGAGGCGGAGAAGCAGGAGGAGAAGCAAATTGGTAAATCGGTAAAGCAGGAGGACCGGCAGACCCCACGCTCCCCTGACTCCACGGCCAACGTTCGCATTGAGGAGAAACATGTCCGGAGGAGCTCAGTGAAGAAGATTGAAAAGATGAAGGAGAAGGTGCGTATGCTCCCACAGCTGTAGATGCTGGGAAGTTACATTCTGTAAGGCATGACTGACAGAATTTCCCAGTAGGCACCAGAAAGAGCAGACTAGGAAGCTCTGGGTTCTTTTAGTGCTTAATGACTAAAAATGAGTCCTTGCTCTGTGCCTTGGTAGGAATACTAGATATTGGAAGAACTGGGCACATGAGCTCCATGCTTTTAACCCCTAGCAGAAACCCAAGAAACAGTAGTCACCTTTCCCAGTACATTTTCCAAATAGAGCCCAATATCCTATTGCTTTGGAGGGGTTGGGGGTGACTGTAGATCCAGGGTTTGGTTTCAGATGTCAGGTGTTTGGGGGCAAGAGTAGTGGTACCTCCTTCAGAGTGGCATTGCAAGAATGAAGAATGATATTTGAAGACAGAATCAAAGTGGGGCACGCATCTTAAGTAGGGAGCCTCATTAACCTTTCCTGAATTGATCTACATTATGCCCTTGAATCTCATTAAACAGAATTAGAACCCAATTTAAGGCAGATGCGCATAGGGAGTAGCAGCACAATTGTAGTTCTTGAATACACTGTACTTTCATCCTTTAGAGAACAGTCTCCCCTTTAAAAAAAAAAAAAAGTAAAAGTGAACCTCTGTTCCTTTTTTAGCGCCAAGCCAAGTACACAGAGAATAAGCTGAAGGCCATTAAAGCCCGGAATGAGTACTTACTGGCTTTGGAGGCAACCAATGCATCTGTCTTCAAGTACTACATCCACGACCTATCTGACCTTATTGATGTAAGTGCTTAAAGCCAAGGGCCTGAGGGCACCTCTTTTCTGGTTTCAGAATCCTGGTCAGACATTCTCCGATACTGTTGTTCAGGAATCTGGGACATTTTGAGAACAATTGTAAAGATAGCAGCCATGATCCATCAGCTGGCTTGCCATGTACCAAGCACCAGGTGCAACACTTCACACTATTCAATCCTCACTGCAATTCGGGAGGAAGGCATTGTTATCAGTATTTTTACAGATGAATAGTCAGAGAGTTTAGATTTCTTACTCTGAATCGGTTAACAAATGACAGAGGCAAAATTTGTACCTTTGCACCTAGGTCTGATTACTCAATCCAGGTTTATAATCACTATGCTCGTCTGTCTGCCAGGAAATACTTTTTTTTTTTTTTTTTACCTTTTTTTTTGAGATAGAGTCTTGCTCTGCCCCCAGACTGGAGTGCAGTGGTGCCTTCTCAGCTCACGGCAACCTCCGCCTCCCAGGTTCAAGTGATTCTCCTGCCTCAGCCTCCCCAGTAACTAGGACTAACCACATGCACCACCATGCCCAGCAAATTTTTATATTTTTAGTAGAGACAGGGTTTCACCATGTTGGCAAGGCTGGTCTTGAACTCTTGACCTCAGGTGATCTGACCTCAGGTGATCCACCTGTCTCCGCTTCCTAAAGTGCTGGGATTACTGGTATGAGCCATTATGCCTGGCCTAGGAAATACTTTATTACATCAGCTTACTTCTCTTGCACAGAAGTGAGTGGCAAGAACTTAACTAAAGAGTTACAATGCCATACCTTACATTTGTATAGCACTTAAGGTCTCTCAGTGTTATCTCATTTGATCATCACATCACCATTATGGGTAAGCATTGCTCTCTCTATTTCCTGAATAAGGAAGCTAGGGGTCCAGAGGACTATGATACTCACCTGTCCAAGGTTATGCTGAAAATTAGGGTCCAGTCAGGAAGGTGTCCAACTGCCCCAACATCTGGCCAATTTTTTAAAATATGCAATGCAAAGGTGATGGAGGAAAGCAGGTTAATAGGCACATGTGTTTTGCAAGAGGCAAGCACAGGGATAACTGTGCTTTTTGTCTTTGGCCTGTGAGTTATTCTTGGCCTTGTTTTTCCTGCTCCTTCCCCTTACAGTTGGGTCTTGTAAGCCCGCTCACCTACAGACTCCAATCTGGCCCAGGTCCTCAGCCACACCTAAGTGAAGCTATGTAATTACACCCTCTCTCATCTCTCCCTCCAGCCATCAAAGTGAGGCATCTGGGGCCTGCTGACTTAGCATCCCAGTCTCTGGGGCTTCAAGTGTATCTCCTCTTTGCGGGCTGCCATTTGTTTCAGAGTCTTGGTGGCAGCAATTGGGCCTTGCAAAACTCTGGCCAGACCACTCATGCTTTCCCACCTTGGTTTCTCCACAAGCAAACTTACTACACCTCACAACATCATATAGGGTTCGGGTCCAAGTCTTGCTGTTACATCACTGCCTGGGTTATCTAAGCTTGTCACTGAATTGTTCTGGAAGCCAGCTTTGTTTCCCATCCCTCCCAAACTTTTCTAGCTAATTGAACAATGTGCTAATTTCCTAGTATTGAAATCTGGCCTCACATAAGAGTAGCTTGGGGAACTTTTAAGAAATACAGATTCCAGTCTCCCTTCAGCCGAGGATTTTTGATTCAGTAGATTGCAGCCACTTAATGCCCTAGCTGTCATTGTCTCACTGGGTTAGTGGAGCCTTGGTCCCTGTTCTGGTACCTCTTTGTTCTCTCTGCTTGTTGATGACAATCTGAACACTGTCCTTCAATGGAGGTCAAAGCCCTGAACAAGATCCTTTTTCCTCCTCAGGGAAGCAGCTCCTCATTGTTGGGAGAGAGGCCTGTTCTCAGCATGAGGAAGAGAATCCATTCTTTCTTATGCACAATTTCAGCTATTTATCTCGCATTTAGTAAAAGTTCAGACTGTGTCATCTGCCACACCTCTACTATTGGTTTGCCCTCTTCTCTTCCCCACCCCCCCCTCACACTCAAGCAACTTCTCTACCTTTTTACTAAAATGCTGATCTCAGGGAAAGGGAGGGGCTACTGCTGTATCAGCCACAACCTTTGCAAAGCATAAATTCTTCCTCAGGTATAAGCAAGTATTTTAAAATCAGCCCAAGAAGTGGCTGGGCACAGTGGCTCAAACCTGTAATCCCAGCACTTTGGGAGGCCAAGGGGGGCAGATCACGAGGTCAAGAGATCGAGACCATCCAGGCCAACATGGTGAAACCCCATCTCTACTGAAAATACAAAAATTAGCTGGGAGTGGTGGCACGCAGCTATGGTCCCTGCTACTCAGGAGGCTGAGGCAGGAGAATCACTTGAACCTGGGAGGCAGAGATTGTAGTAAGCCAAGATCACACCACTGCACTACAGCCTGGTGGCAGAGCGAGATTCCATCTCAAAAAAAAAAAAAAAAAAATCAGTCCAAGAAGCAAGGTATTTTGTACTGTACTTCTATCATTAAAAAGAAAAAAAAAAAGTCTGTTCAGAGCCTAATTTCACAGGATGTGGTATGAAATGCCATTGAAAAAGAAGCTGCCCTAGTACTTGGCAGGGTGTAGGTCTGGATCACTGTGATCGAAAGACTACATAGGTAGTAATAAAGTTTCTCATGTTTCTTTGCTGCTATGTTTTAGTTGTGTCTTGTTTTATTTTGTTGGCTGGTTGGGTTTTTGTTGCTGTTTTTCCTGAGATGAAGATACATTCGTTACTTTAAAAAAAAAAAAAAGTTGTATTATTCTGCTCTGTAAATGTTCAGAAAGTATTTATTTAGAGAGAGGCCAGGTACTCAGTATCAGGGGTACAAACGGAATATAGTAGTTCTTGCCCTAGAGGTATTCATAGACTCTAAGACAGCATTTTTCAAACCATCAGTCAGATCCATTAGGGAAGTCAGGAAGTCACTTTTATTGGTGTAACCTGTGTTTTTCAATGAATAGACAAGACTAGAATAAGAAAGAAAATATTAGAGTACGTCACATAGGTAAGATTATGTGAAACTTTTATGTTAGATGTGTATGTACACACTTGCACATCTGTGGGAGGTGTGTGACAAATAGAAGGTGTGTTTCTTATTGTGAGTTGGGAGCCAAAAAAATGCTTCTGAGCCACTGTACTATGAACAGAGGAAGATCCCAGTCTCCTCTGTTAAGTTCTGTGAGAGCAGGAACCAGGAGTTTTCTTTACCTTAGTAGCCTCCATGCTTAATATTTAGCTGAGCACATAGTGTGTTTACTGAAGGAAGAAAGGAATAGAAAGAGAAGGAAGATGATCATCTAAGCTAAGATTGGTTTTTCTTTTTGTACCTTTCCATATTGTTTTGATGTATAATTTACATACAGTAAACTTAAGTATTACAGTTTCAAGAGTTTTGACAAATTTGTCAAATATTTGATATAGAATAAATATTTTTATAAGCGATATCTTTCCACTGGACAGGTGCAGTGGCTCACACCTGTAATCCCAGCACTTTGGGAGGCCAAGGCAGGTGGATCACGAGGTCAGGCGTTCGAGACCATCCTGGCCAAGATGGCGAAACCCTGTCTCTACTAAAAATACAAAAATTAGCTAGGCACTTTGGCGGGTGCCTGTAATCCCAGCTACTTGGGAGACTGAGGTAGGAGAATCGCTTGAACCTGGGAGGCGGAAGTTGCAGTGAGCTGAGATGGTACCACTGTACTCCAGCCTGGGCAACAGAGCAAGACTCCATCTCAAAAACAAACAACAACAAAAAAGAGATATCTTTCCATTGCCTCAGAAGGTTTCTCTTGTCTCTTCCCAGTCAGTCCCCCACCCTGAGGCAACCAGTTATGATTTCTTTCAACATAAATTAGTTTTGCCCATTGTAGAACTTCACAAAGATGGGATTATCCATTTTTGTATCTGGCATCTTTTGCCCAGCGTAATGTTTTTGAACTTTGTCCATGTTGTTTGCATCTATCAGTAGTTTCTTACTTTTTCTTGCTGATCTATGCAATAAAAAGGGCCAAAAGGATGCAGTTAGAGCAGGACTAAGTGAGGAGCCTGGGATATTGGCATCCTGATCTTAACAGTATCCAGAACTTGCTTTTACACATGGGATGAATCCTGTTTCAGTCCATTACCATCTGTGTCATATACGCCCTTCTGCCTCCTTCCTAGTGGTTTTGAAGCCAAATGTGTGCATAAGGCATTGAGGATAAGTGAAAAGAAGTTATTTTTGTTGATGCCATTACATTGACCAAGGACTAGCCTCTGACTTCTTTTTATAGTATAGTGTAAGATTTAAACTTCAGACTGTAGGAATCCACATGAGGCATCTGCCACATTGGGGAAACCTTGACTTCAGGCCAAAAAGACGCTCTGAGCTCATTTGATAGCATCTAAGAACTGTAGGCTCAGTGGAATGTAATTTTCCTCCCCCGTACTCTTGTGGCTCTGTCAACCCAGGAGCAGATGGATGAATGAATAACAGGGCATTGTCCTCATGCATAGTTGGAGTGTTGTGAGTGCCGTGTACATGTGTAGAAGTTCTGTGACACCATGTGCACCCAAGTCTGACATGAGGGAACTTGGCTGTTACAGTAAGAAATATCATTAAGGACAGTTATTTTTCTCTTCTGTATGAACTTGAAGTGGCTGTCGTGAAACACCCATTTTTCTTTTCCAGGCCTTATGGAGTCTCTGGGTGAGGATATCAGCTGGGAAAGGGTTAATGAGCTATCAACTCAAGTCATCATACATCTGAATGGGTGGTCATTAAATTCTTATAAAAATTTGATTTCCCCTGAGAGATTTTTCATCAAACATTTATATAACTCAGAAATGGCCAGGGGAGCCCAGCGTGGCCACAGAAATCAGAAGCCATGGAAAGCATGCTTTGTCCCCATTGTGGGCAAAATAATGTGCTTCCTCTACTTACTGGGATTCTCCTCGGAACAGGGTGAAATATTCAAATCTCATTTACCTAACCTTGCCAGATATTGCTTCTTTGCTAAAGACTGGGTTTCTGGCTGTTGCCCTTGCAGGTATGTAGATAGTCAAGACTCTGGAGAACCTCTTCTGAATTTGCCTGGTAGGCTAGAGGTGTGGAGGAGCCAGGGGCACATTGTGACTCAGACCCTCATTCACTGGCACAGAGAAGCTACAGAACAGTTATATAAACAGAGACAGTACACCAGCCTGGGAAAACTCCCAGCCTTCCTTTGGCCATAGAGTGAGCAAAACAAAAGGCTTCACTGGCCCCATCTACCCACTTGACTTAGGTCAGTATTCAGCCTAAGTGTTTTATTTCCTGAGAGGCTGGAATTTGTACTTGTGCTGTCAGTCACTGAAATTAAGTGCCTACTATGAGCAAGGCCTATTGCTGAGGCATGTAAACAAGGGTTAGAAGCTAGCCTGGTTTGGGTGATATGACGTGGCAAGTCATAGAATGAAGAAGTATTCCTTGTCATATGAGAGCTACAGATTAGTGTGGTTCTAAGTAGAGGCCATGGTCATTGGAGTCCAGGATTACAGAGCTGGCTGGCTTCCCAGAGGCTGAGAATTTTAATTTGGATCTTGAAGATCTGGTCCAATTCCAATAGGTGAGAGGCGTGGGAAACATTTAAGGAAGAGGACATTCTGGGAGCTGAAGAGGAGAGATCAGTGGATTTGGAGCTATATTAGTATTTTTTTAAGTGTCTAGATGGTACCAAATATATGTAAATATATTGCCTATTAGCCTACACAACCTATGAGGCTGGTGTTATCCTCATTTGAGGCCCAAAGGTATTAAGTAACTAGCTTATGGCCATATAGCTGATTTGAAGCCTAGAACTCTACCCTAAACAGAGAGTATGTCATTGGATTAGAGCAGATGAATCTGAGGAAGAAAATAAAGGGAGCTGATGTTGGATGGTAGATTGAAAACAGATTACAATTTGTTCTGGCCATTGAAGCTCTCTCAAATTATTTAACTTCACTCAGCCTCAGCTTTCAAACCTGGAAAATTAAGGTAATATCAACTTCATTGAGGTTATTATAAGGATTAAAATGTAGAATATATATAAAGCCCGTAGCACATGGACTGATGTACAGTAAGCACACTTAGTGAAATAGAAGGATTTTTTAAATTTTAAAACTGGAGAAGGTGGATTTTACCTTGGGGGAAAAAAATGAAAGGTATTTTAGGTTCTTCAACAGGAAAGTGCCATAATTAAAGTCGCATGTTGGGACAGTGAAGCAGATAGCACTGGTGTAAGACAGTAAGGGTATGAATAGGGGTAGAGGTACTGAGAATAGAGAGGAAAGGGGAATTACTAAAAATAGGTAAAGGCTTTTTGAAGGGCACCTTTCCTCTCCTAAATTCTACCTTCTGCTCTCACCCTCTTCACCCACACACATGCTCAGTGGGCAGTATTACTTCTGTTCATTAGACTTACAGGCATAGAGCTCATCAAGAGGGTCTACATAGAGCTAGTCAGGAAGGTTTACAGGTTCAAGGGCAGCCTGGTGAGACCAGCAGCATCTCCCAGAGGGCCCATGCACGTGCAGCCTCCTAATCAGCCACTTTTGTCTAGCTTCGATTTGCTCTTCCCTCCCAACTGAATTTAATGTCTTTCCATCCTCTGCCTCTAGTTAAGCTGTAACTGCTGTTATTCTGCTGCAGCCAGGCAGCTGCCAGGGCCCGTTGGCACTAAACCCAGAGCCTAGCCCAACTGATGCTCTCACTGAGCTTCTTGTCAGATGCCAGGAAAGAGGAGGCATGTCATATGCCTTTTCTTCCCCAATAGTGGCTGCTTCCAGTGTGATGATGATGAGAGGAAAAGGCTGTGGGGAGGGTTAATTTGATGCCTGCTTGTGCAATGAAATGGCAGTCAGGCAGATGGCCTTACTCTGTGCATGGATTCTTCTCTGATGTTTCTTCTCAGGACCTGGACCTCAAAGCTGCTTAAGCAATAGAGAGGATGGTGATGGATGGCCAAGGAATTGGGATCTCTAGGTCCTTTGGGAGGGATGGGGAATATTATCATGGAGTTACAGAATGCCATTGCTGAGGAAGGCCTTAAGGATTACATTTAGTCCAGGGATTTTCAGGCTTTTCTCTTAACAAAAGAATTCTTTCTTCAAACCAGACCTTATATAGAATCCCTAAATATTAAATAGAAAAAAAGAGCAGAGCTGGCTTGGTTGAAGGAGGAGTAGAAGGCTCCAAGTCCTAGCAGTTGGGTTCTCCTTTTACCCACTTCTCCAGGGTAACTTCAGTGCCAGCGCTGGTCTACTGCTTGAAAGCCACTGGCCTGGCCAAATCTGTTTGTTTTACTACGGAAGAAACAGGTTCAGAGAAGGGGAGTGGCTTTTCCAAGGTTGCTTGATTCTGCCACCAGTGCTTTTTTTTTAATACAATTGCCTCTTTCATACCATTTTTCTTTTTGCATTTTGTTGTAAAAATCAAGAATCCTTTACATGGCATGAATTTCCTCAGTAACATTTATGCATAGAGCTTTTTAGTTTTATAAATACTATTTCTGTAGCGCAGGGGCATCTGTTGTCAGATGCCAGGAAGGAGGAGGCATGTCAGAAATCCTTGTCCGCAGTTAAGGCCTATCCTAAGATGTTGGGAGTTGGCGGGGATGATGACCCACAGAGTCAGCTCCCCATTCTGTCCTTCTCCCACCTAGAGCTGAGCTTGCATACATGAGCTGCTGTTACAATACTCCTGCTTTCAGAACCCTGAAATGGCCTGGCTTGGTTGCTGTATAGTGATTTAACCACAGTAACCCTCAGTGAGTGGCAGGTTGTATTTTTATTGTTGAATTTTGTTATAATGGTAACCCCAGATAAACCTAAAAATGGAAGAGGCTTCTGTTTAACTCTCAATTCTTCTTATGTTTATGAAATAGCACTTAATTAAATAATGTCATTTTATCCTTATGAATCTTTTTCCTTCTAACCACCTCACGGCCCTCAGGGGTGTGTTTAACCATTGAATTGGGAGTCAAGAACGGAGAACTCTCACCTAGGCCATGGAAGTCAGGATGTCAACTCTCTTTCACTGCACAGCCAGGCCTATTGATGTGGTCAGATCTGCCCTCTGGACCACCCTCCGTTTCCACCAAGCCTTGGGGCTGCCCATGGTGTGCTCATGTACCTTCTCCTTCCCACAGCAGTGTTGTGACTTAGGCTACCATGCAAGTCTGAACCGGGCTCTACGCACCTTCCTCTCTGCTGAGTTAAACCTGGAACAGTCGAAGCACGAGGGTCTGGATGCCATCGAGAATGCAGTAGAAAACCTGGATGCCACCAGTGATAAGCAGCGCCTCATGGAGATGTACAACAACGTCTTCTGCCCCCCTATGAAGTTTGAGTTTCAGCCCCACATGGGGGATATGGTGAGTCCTTCTCCCTGTACCCCCATCCTCAAGGGGCTTGAGTGAACTTGTGTCTAAATTCATTACACAGAAGCCACATTATTCTGCGGTGGAAGAGGCCTGGGCCTGGCTTCTTGTCAGGTGGGTGAGGCACATTCCACTAACTGAGCAAACAGCTAGTGAGTGCCTGCTGTCAGACACTCTGGCTTGGTTGCAGATATGAGGGATTAAAGCCTTCAGGGAGCTTACAATCTGGGGAATAAAGTCACTAAGGTTTGGAGAGAGTTAGAACTATGCATAGAGAGGGGGCATCCAAAGGGGCCCAGCAAGATCAATGAAGGTTAAAAATAGCAGGTGTATTCTAAAAACTACCAACCGTTCAGGATGGTGAAAGGAAAGTGAGGGAGTGGTGAGGCTAGAAGAAATGAGAGCTGAGGTGGGCCCACATCCTAGAGGCTTTAGTGGGGAAGCGAGGGCTAGGCAGGGAATGCTGTGATCTTTTGCCATTTGGCAGAGTTCGGAAGAATCTTATTCTCCAGAGGTTAGAAGATTGTGATAAAGTGTATAGTTTTGCTTGGGGTATTGAACTAAAAAGAATAGGTATCTGCAGAAAGGACAGGAGCTAAGATGCCATCCCAAACACCTGACGCTGGTTGCCCAGACAGGGAAGCATGAACATGGGGCTTTGTTTTGGACTCTTTGCCTCCAGTGACTAGACTAAGAAGGGCCTAAATAAAGTGAGAGGCAAGAGAAGCTCCTGGGTTTTCATTGCTCTAAATCTTCTGGTTCTACTTGTGTGGTTATGTGTACAAGTCAGAGTGAACCTCATTCCTGTGGGTAAGAGCCATCATTTCACCTATTGGAGAAATCAGAAGGACGTTGTATAGGCTTATGTGATAGAAAAGATCAAGATGGACCTTTGGGTATAGTTGGTTTTAGGAGGAGGAATTTTACCAAGATACTGTTTTGCTGTCTCTGTACCACTTCCTGTGTATTAGTTCCATTCTCAGACAAGCCATTCTCCCATGGAGGCAAGGTGACTGCATTTCCAGCCTTTCCTGGTAGGACGAAATCTAGTGGAAAGAGTATCTGCCTCTCTCCTCGAAGCCCCCACAAAGTTTCATGTGTCTCATTGGTTTCGATTGCGTGAAGTGCTTATGCCTGCATCCATGCAAAGCACATGACCTGAGCTGTAGAGTAAGAGGTTCCCCCCGCTGAAGGCAGTCAGACCAAAGCTACCAAAAAGAGAGGAGTGGATGCCAGAGGACCAAAAACAGCAACATGTGCACTACTCAGGAATGATGCTTCCCTTAAGATTAGTATCCAGAGTCTAGAAATCCCTGCTCCAGAATGACAGCTGTGGCAGTAGAACCAGAGGATTTGCTGTCATCAGTCAGCCTCTATGGAGAGTGAGACTCTGTCCTAGAGACAGAAATGTGGACATGATTTCCTTCCTTTCTTTCTTGGGGAAAATCAAACCATTTACAGTTCATTTCCATTGCTGTGGCTTAGGGAATGTTGTCAGTGTCTGAACAGATGGAGAAGTGAGATGGCAGCATGTGCAATTAGAGTTGGGGGAAGGGGTGTCACCAAGCCTCAGGAAGCCCCATTCCTCACCTGCCCTGGCTTCTGGTCAAACTTGCCTTCCAAGCCCCTTCTCCAGCTGTCACTGAGATTCCGTCCCAGGGATCCGTGGAACTTGGGGACCAGCTGAGTGGAGTGATATATTTTCCGGTGTTAGTGATTGAGTTGCCTTCTGAGCCAAACAGCTTGTCTTCATAAAGAGGGAACCCAGATGCTGGGTGCTCAGGCCCCTCCTCCCCTGTCAGAGCCTTATTTCCATACTCCAGAGTGCAGCTGGAATGTATTACCTTGCACCCCGGTAGCGGACCACTGCCAAAGCATGCATCACCATCAGCTCTGCTACTTCTTAAAGGAACAGGTTTGGAGGCGGTTTTTCCCTCCATGATTCCTCTCTGCTAGGTCTGGATTACTTTAAAAATCAATAGCTCACTCCTCTGCTGGGGCCATCCCTTTGTGTGATATAGCTGATCAGTGGCTGAGCGAGGCAGGGGCCAGGACCAATCCTGGAGCTTGTAAAGATTCCACATTCTAGCCTAGCCTTCATGTGAGTGAAAAATAAAAAGAGAAGAAAGGGTGGGTCATTCTTGGCCTCTACAGCCAGTCTATCCCCATCAGTGTGGGTTGTCTGCAGATTGTGGAGGCAACAGGAGGGAGCTGCCTGGAAGTTGTTGAACTAGGGCCAAAGATTGGGTGGCATTTTGATTGGAAGTCTTGAAATTGGCAAGGGTCCCACACTAACTGGTTTTCTGGGGTACACAGCACATGAATTGATGCCAAGTGCTCTCAGATGTACTAGGAGGAAGTGCTTGGCTCCATTTTTGGTGCCCTCAGAGGCTGTGGGACTCTGGATGCCTGACCAGTGACATCAGGCAGCCAGAGAGTTTCACTATTGGCGCTAACCAGTTCTGGCCACTGAGCTTTCTCCATTGCGTCTGCTTATCCAAAAGTTAGAGTGAAGTCAGCTCTCTCCAGATCTGAGAGCTGGCTCAGGCCAGCCTCTCAGCTGAGGGAGGAGGTCAAGTCAGTTGAGAGCTTAAAAACCAATGGAAGAAAAGGTCAAGTCCCAGCCCCCTCCATTTGAAGAGAGATTTTGTCCTTTCAAGCAAGGGAATGGTCCGTGGGCATATGAATGTGCCCACTCGTTGCTGAGGAGGAAGGAGGCCATTTCTATCCAGATGTCTGTCTGCAGACAAGAGGCTAGAGAACGAACAGTGACAAGGTGACAGGAGCTGCCTCCACATGGGTCCTGCCTCCCACCTCTCTCAGCCTTCTGCTCCTCATCTGCCATCCAGGGGACTGTGAATGACGTCATCCCTTAACTACATCCCCATCAGGAGACAGTGGAACAGCCATTCTTTCACACAGGAGAAAGCTAATTGGCAATAATCCTTTAGCTAAGGGCAGACTTCTCTCTTACAGGTCTAGGGAAGGCCTGGGGTAAAATGATGGCACTTTGGAAAATGCCAGCTTTCTCCAGATTCCATGCCCTCTCGGCCCTTCTAGCATAGGCAAAGAACTTGTTCCTGGCTTCACACTTTCTCATTGAATCAGAGCTCTCATGCATGGCCTGGATTTATAAACACATGCTGGCTGCCAGCAGTGACAAGTTAGCCTGCTGACCTACTTCTCTTCTGCTTTCACTCTGGTGTAGGAAGGGGGATGAGGGAGGGGCCAGAGAGGTGGCCACTTGGACCTTTGGCAGGAAATCCTCACTGTGCCAAAGCATTGTGTTTCTGGAGCTGGGGCTGCCTGAGGCACTCTTCTCCAGCCTCCTCAGCCTTCCATGAAGCTGTAAACCCTGCACAGACCTACCCCTGCCGGGCTCCAAACAGATCCTCCTCTCCATTCCTTCATGTACTATTTGGTCCTGGAAGAGGCTCACACAAGTTGGCTTTGGATTTTGCTTCAACACAGAAACCACAAGCCTTATACCTTGAATATGGGTGGTTTCATTGCCAGTAATGAACTGGCAATGGAACTGCCAAAGGAATTGTATTCTTTTTCTGACCTGGTGTTGCTGTCTTTTGTTAGGCTTCCCAGCTCTGTGCCCAGCAGCCTGTCCAGAGTGAGCTGGTACAGAGATGCCAACAACTGCAGTCTCGCTTATCCACTCTAAAGATTGAAAACGAAGAGGTGAGTTTCCTGCTTACGAGGTTCAAAGCCACACTCTTAAGTTTCCCTGTTGAAACTTTTGCTGCTGCCCATCTGGGAGCAGGTGGAAGGAGCATGCAGAGAATGTCCGGGCGGCCACAAACATTTCCTAGCCAAATGTAGGCTTGGACTTTCCCGCTCTGCTACATCCTGCCCTTGAACTTCAGGAAGTTGCTCTTGCATTGCCAAAGGTTGTGCTCTATTTTGAGCTTTTGCACAGTGCTTTTTTCCCCTCTACACATTTAATCAAAATGGCACTTGGCAGCTGTGTGAACAATATTGTGTCTCTGAAACCACCCCCTCATGCCTAGCTTTTTCCATCATGTTCAAACAAACAGAGGCCTTTGACTTTGACACTTCAAACGTCTCCGTCCTCTTAGGAAAGGGTGAGTTTCTTCTGGGCTCAGCGTATTTGCTTTCAGAAAGCAGTTCAAAAGGGCAAGTGATCCAGCTTTCTGTTGAGCTCAGATGGCTTCTTATCTTGTGTCTCAGTAAATTTTACTTTCCCCAGGAAGATCAGGAAGAAGTAGGGATAGGTCACTTAGTTTGCAAATGAGCAAACAAGTTCATCAGTTTGTTGAAGGTCATGAAACAGAACCTGAGGCTTTGCAGTACTAGGCCCATCACACATTTTAATTAGCTGTTTATATGATGGGATTGGTTCAGATTTATTTTATTCTCTTTCCCTTAACACTTGTATTATAATGCTAATATTAAATTTTAAAAGTAAACATTAAAAGATCTGGGTCAAGTACACAGCATGAGAGGTTGTAGTGGCTTTTAGGTTTTCACTGTAGAGAGGAGCATGCTATAGCAGAGTCCACGTGATGTTCATCTCTCACTTAGCACTGTCCAATGGGAAGCAAAGCTGCACACTCTGATGGCATCCTCTGGCCTTCCCCAGCCCACTCTCTTCAAGCTTCTCCATCACCTGCTGTTTTGCAACCCACCCTTCATGCATTCTGTTGGCCCTTGTCATGGCAGGTGAAGAAGACAATGGAGGCCACCCTGCAGACCATCCAGGACATTGTGACTGTTGAGGATTTTGATGTGTCTGACTGCTTCCAGTACAGCAACTCCATGGAGTCTGTCAAGTCCACGGTGTCTGAAACCTTCATGAGCAAGCCCAGCATTGCTAAGAGGAGAGCCAACCAGCAAGAGACAGAACAGTTTTATTTCACAGTAAGGGAGCACTATGGCTTTTAAAGAGTGTCAGCATGTACTGCATTGCACAAGGGAGATTTGGAACTCAGAGTCCTTGTTAAGTGTCTGAAGGACAGATGTTGAATATCTTAGATATGAATGTGGGCATACTCAGAGGCCATCCCTGCACTTAAAGGTGCAAACATTTACAAGTTGTGTATGACTAACATGACCCCTACAGAGAAAGATGCTCCCAAGTATACCACTAAGAAGGTTTTCTTTTTTAAGAAATTTTTAATAAGCTAGTAGGCTTTCATTATTTCCTTCTCAGGCACAGTGGATCATGAAAGGCGAACTTCTAATTATTACCAAAACTTAAAGGATGGGTAATATGCAGCATTACTATTTTGCACATAATTCCAAAACATATAGTTTCTTATTCATGTGTCTCTAGTCTTCTTTTAGGCAGTCGGACCCTTTTTTCTTTTCTTTTTTTCTTTTTTAAGTATTGTTAACAGTCCTTTGGGAGGTTGCTACTGGTCTTTGGTGCTGCTTTTTAATAATTGAGTTATTTTGAGCTTGCCAAGTAGGATCTTGCCTGGACTAAAATTTATTTCCTAATCTTCTGATGACCAAGAAAGGAAAAATTAAGTTTGCAGATGTGACATGAAATATAGCCAGTGAATATGCATACTGATTCTGAATGAAAGGAATTAACTTTTCAGTCAAGAAACAGTCTGCATGCAGTAAATTGAATTTTTCCTGCAACTGGAACAGTTTGTTTAATTCTTCTTTGAACACTGCCCTTTCTCTATTAAGAACACTAATGATTTGCTAACGTTTTTTAAAGAAATCTGTTTTTTTAATTAAGCTTAGACTTCCTCATTTTTTTTTAATCCTAGCGAAAACTGCTAAAAGGGAATAATTTATCAGTACTATTCTTCTAAAACAACTTTTTAAAAATTATGATGCAAAGCTAAATATGCTCATTATATAAAATTTAGAAGCAAAATGAAGGAAATAAAAACTGTCCATAATTCTACCTCCTAGAGATAATGGTATTAGGATATATTTCTTTCTCATCTTTTTTCTATGTGTGCACAAACACATATGTGAGCCCATATTTATAATTTTATTATAAAAAATAGGATACTGCTGTACATATTGTTTTACAATCTAAGTCATATAATATTCTTTAAGCATATTTATGAGTAAAATATTAAAACCTATACAAAAAAATAGAATGACATTTTGGCTCATTCTTTCATTTTTGTAAAATATTTGACACACTGCCTGGTTTGTAGTGTTCAATAAATGCTAAAAATTTATCTTCACCATCATCATTAATTTACTTATTAATCATTATTAAGTTGTTCATTGATCATTATTTGAGGATTTATTATTGGCCAGACACTGTGCTACAAGCTGGGAATGCTGCGAGTGTAAGATAAAGAGGGACATGATGGGAGATGGGTCACATAAAGGGAGAACGTTCATTTTTACTTCATGTATATCTAAACAGTTATACTAGGTTGATTTTTGTAATTTAAAAAATGTAAAATGTAAAAATGCATATATATACTTGTGCGTGAATGGCAGCCAGGATGAGTGGAGTTGGGGAAGCATCACACACAAAGTGACTTTTGTGCTTGATCTTGAAGAATGAGTGAAGCAGGCAGGGAGTCGGGAGGAGAATGGCATTCCTTGAGGAAAGAGCAGCATGTGGGAAAATATAAATGCACACAAAAACCTGGCTCACACATTAAGAGAACTTTCTGACTATAATGAGGGACGTGCCGCTGCCCCAAGCTTCATTATCTAAGGAGCTTGTTGAACACTCTCTAGAGGCTTTTAGTAATAGGATTGTTTAGCTGGTCTGTCTGGACTGCTTAGATATAACACTATTTAAATGACCCAATCTCATTACATTGCTAAGATTTCCATTTTTTAGGTTAACTAAGAAATTTTGGACCTAAAAATCTTGTATTTTAAGATAGTTTTTGTCAGAATTGCTTTTTGGCTTTAAATGAATTCTGTAACATATTTATTCAAAGTTGACCTTTAGTAAAGCAGGAATGGCCATATTCAAACTGGTAACCTCTCAAATCCTGCCCATCCTTTCACTTTCTGTCTCAATACATAGATGTCCTCTAACCCATTTCCTGTCTTTTGTGGCCCTAGTGCCACTTAATCAAAATTGTGTGCAAATTTCCTTGGCTAACAGGAAGAGTTTTGTCTGGGCTTGCCTAGCAGTGGAATTCTGTGCAAGTTCATCAGTTTTGTGACTGGTGCTTGAAGTGCATCAGATGATTAATTTCATGATAAAAGGGTTTTTTTGGGTGGTGAAATACACATATATGGAAAATAGGATACCCACATTAAGCAGAGTAACTGCCTGTTTACCGTACAACCCATACAAAGCCAATACAACCACAAATGTGCTTGCTTTAGTCTGTTGCCCCTGCACACATTGCCTGTGTGTTTCTCTATGCCCTTCAAAAACATCAGAGCACCCTGGAAGATCCTGTCTTTTGGAAGGTTAGGAAGAGGTCCCTTGTCACAGCTCAACTCCTAGGTAGTGTGCCTAGTGACCAAGAGGGCTGCTAGGAAAGCTGTCTGACCATGTGTGGCTGTCATTGGACTGATTTGCCCAGCTAACATCAACTGGGAATTGGGGCATGATCTATAAAGTTGCTTGCAAGAGTCTCAGGAAAATAATTGCGGAGTTAAGAAACTTGAAGCGGTTTAAAAAAAAAAATTATCTAACCCAACCTTCTCATTTGAAAGATTAAAAAAACAAATAGGCCAGGCATGGTGGCTCATGCCTGTAATCCCAGCACTTTGGGAGGCCGAGGTGGGTGGGTTTCTTGATGCTAGGAGTTAGAGACCAGCATGGACAACATGGTGAAACTCTATCTCTACTAAAAATACAAAAATTAGCCAGGTGTGGTGGTGGGTACCTGTAGTCCCAGCTACTCAGGAGGCTAAGGTGGGGGGATCACTTGAACCTGGGAGGCAGAGGTTGCAGTAAGCTGAGATCGTGCCACTGCACTCCAGCCTGGGTGACAGTGAGACTCTGTCAAAAGAAGGAGGGGGGAGAGAAAGAGAGAAAGAGAGAGAGAGAGAAGGGAAGGAAGGAAGGGGACAGAGGGAAGGAAGGGAGGGAGGGAGGGAGGAAGGAAGGGAAGGAAGGGAACGAAGGGAATGAAGGAAATGAAAAAATCCAGAGAGGATGGGTAGCTCACAAAAGCTGGACCCACCACTCTGGTTGCAGGGTCTCTGGCCACAGGCTGCTTCTCTACACCCTGTGGAAGAAGCAGAGGTGAAGGGAAGGGCTGAAGAACAGCTCAGCAACTTTCGCCTCTTATTTGCCCTCAGAGGGGACGTGTTTCCTGATCTTCTCGGCTTTGTGTTTATCACTTATCTTCTATAACACATAGTTCAGCAATGTCTACTTTTTACCCATTGTCTTTTTTACTGTGATTGTTAAAAATAGATATTTTTAAAGGATGCAAAGATTTCAAAAGGGTATACAGAAAACTGTACTATAATGTTTCTTCCCATTCCTGACTCCCCTCCCTCTGCTAGTGATTGAAACAAACCAGTTTCTTCTGTGTCCTTCCAGAGATACTCTATGCATGGACAACAACTGACATATCTGTAAATACCCTTTAATACAATAAATTACATTAGAAATGTAATGAAAAAAATGGAAGCCAAAATAGAAGTATTCTACTTATACAGTTCTTACCTTTTTTTTTTAACCTGTACATGTCAAGGAATCTACCTATACAATTCTTTACTTTTGTAACGTTATTTATCTTATTTTTATGTTAGTCCAAAAAGATCTTCCTCCTTTTTTAATGGCTGGACAGAATTCCACTGCCTGAATGTGCCATCATTCGTTTAACAAACTCACTGCTCATAGACGGTGATGCTTGCTGTTTAGCCAAGGTTTACCAAACAAAGCTTTATAAGGCTGGCATTTCTCCTAAGTATTTCCTTTTATGGGGAGTTGAAGAATTAGGTTCTTATATGGGGGATAGAGCAGTGAAGGGGTTAAGGATTATGGCCAATAAAGTAACAAAGCTAAACAGTCTGAATTCTTAGGGACAGGTTTGAGGAAGATAATAGGAGAGGAGGCAAATGCCTTGGCCACTGGGGCACTGAGCGACCACCAGACTTGGAACTTGTGGTCTGAGATCTTTTTATCTTGATAGTCTCTTGCAGGCCCTTGGTAAATGTGTGCTAGCAAGCACAAACGAGTGAATGGCCCTGTGTTGTCAATTAAACTGGGGAGACGTGCTCCATTTAAAGTTTACTCTATTATGGATTCTATGTGACAGCTGTTTCCTATTTTAAAAATTGACAGGAGGAGGGGAAATGTCAGCGTGCTTGCGTGGTGGGGAAACAGCCACTTTAATGACATCTGTGTATCTCTGAGCATGGGCTGGGTAGGTGTACTCACTCCTCCTGCCTTGCTGCAGTGGATACTTAGGGTCTTGGGTTCATACAGATTAAATCCAAGGCATAAGAAAGGTCCAGTGAGTTTTATACCCCCATGATAAGAGTGTATTTAAAGGGAAGAAGTTTTTAGAAATGAAATTTGAAATGCATTTTAGTGCCTCTGTTTTTTTTTTTAAGGCCCAAAACCTTCTGCTTTTGTGCTGTTTTTATTTTAGCACAAAGCAAAGAAGTTTAGGAAGGGATGCTTTGAGGTTCACTGAGGAGGTGATTCAGGTATAAGGAACATCTTTTTGAGTGCCTGCTCTATGCCAGGCCCTTTGCTAATAATATTAATGCTTGTTAACCAATTTCATTCTCAGCAACCTTGTGAAAAAAAATATTATTCTCATTTTTCAGATGGAAAAACTAAGACTCAGAGGGTTAAATGATTTGCTCAAGGTTAGAAGAGTTGGTGAGTGGTAACACTAGAATATTCCAACTCATGCTTTTTCATTTTAATGTAACTAAAATGTCTGTCAAGGAGGGAAGGTGCAGAAAGAAAAGTTATTATATTAATACTTTTCAATAAATAAAGCTCACTGCTGACAGTTAATAACCAATTAAAAATTATTGGGAAATGAATTAATGAGATCATAAAAACGGAAAATTGAAGTTTCACAATGGCACAAAGCAAAACACCCAATAGACTTTTTGCTTCTCTTCCTACTTTTTGAAGAAATTCTCAGTTTTGTGATTATTTTAAGTATGAAAGTTGTTGGGGGTGAGCAGTGGTCAGCCTGTGTTTTAGGAACTTGATTTTATTTTGGTGATACCTAGAATAAAATATTACCCTTTCTTTTGCTTCTCTGTTGAGGAAAATGAAGTTTTAGGTGTTTGGTGAAGGAAGTTGGGTGTAGGGAATGGAACGAAAAAGAATTACCTATTGTTGGAATATGCCTTAAGTAAAGAAAGTGATCCTTGTTGTCCAAGGAAGGGATTTGGATAGTGGAGATGCAGTCCTTTTCCTGGCCCCTGGTATCCAGAAGTCATTGAAAATCACCTATTCTTCCCTTGCCTTCTTTAGCAGTCTCACCTCCTTTCTCTGTGTGTCTGTCCAACAGCAACAGAGCCTTCTAACTCACTTTCAACAATTACAGATAAGGTCACTTAGCCCCAGCGAATCTCTCATATGGATGAGTGCTGACTTGTGGATGGGATGGGGGAGTGATAAAATAACATGCCTGCAGACTCTGAGATGCCTTTACATTTCCATATCTGGCTGGATGGGAAACTCCCAACTGTGGTTTCCGTGTCAGTATTAGAGATGCAGCTCATACCTTGACACAGTTATGATCCTTCAGGATTTAATGGAACAAAAAGGAATTCACCATACGTCTTTACCAGGTTATTTATTTTAATGGTTCATCGAGTGACAGCCAGAGTTAACTAGTGAATTGTCAACATGAATTAAAAAAATGATTTCCAGAATAACAAGTAAAAACAAGAGTAAGAGGAAGGAATTTGCATCCTTATCCTTTTAGAATTGTGGCTGTTTTCTGAGCAATCCGGCCTTGTTCTGAAGGCTAAGACTTCTCAGTGAATTTTCCTCGCTATGAAACCTTTAGAGTCCCCTGGGATAACCTTCCAAAGAGAAGCTTTTGAGGCTTGCATTGTTGGCAATGGATATTTCCTGAAGGCTTTCCACTTCTGGGCCCTCAAGTACTGTTCCAAGCCCACAATTAGGTATCGGTTAGGGATTAAGATATTACCCAGGGAAGAATGACAGCAGGTGAGCTGGCATCTGGAGCAGATGGGAAAGGGGAGGTGACAGCAGAGCCTCTTTTTTTGCAGATGTTCTTGTGCAAAAGCATAAAGGGACAGAGGGAACAGGTCATGAATAAGGCAGGAAAAATTATTTGGTGTAAGATTTGATTTTGGCTTGTTTTATTTTTAATTTAGAGAGGATTGGCACACTAGGGGCTTGGCTTGTAACTGATGAGGAAAGGTCAACTCAGAGCAGAGTGAGACTGCTCATTCATTTATTCATCATGCATTTATTGAGTATTTGCTAGGTGTGGTACTAAGCATCAGGGATGCAAAGAATAATGAATGACATGGTCTCTGACCATACGGAGAAAGCAGTCTGGAGAAAAAGACATATGAGTAATAAACCCTTTGTGACAGGGCTGTATGAGAAGTGCTGTCCTGGAGATTTGCAAGGTACACACAGGACCATCTGGGTGAACACGGGATGGCTAGGGACTGCATCCCAGAGAAAGCAGATTTTTCTTTTGTTTTTAAACAAGAGAGAGAGTTAGATCCAAGCTCTTATCTAAAAGTTCACACTGTACAGAAAAGTATAGAGTAAAAAGTAACTCACATTTGTTCACTTTTCTTTTTTCTTTTTCTTTCTTTCTTTTTTTTTTTTTTGAGATGGGAGTCTTGCTCTGTTGCTCAGGCCGGAGTGCAGTGGCACGATCTTGGCTTACTGCAAGCTCTGCCTCCCAGGTTTAAGCAATTCTCCCACCTCAGCCTCTTGAGTAGCTGGGATTACAGGCACACACCACCATGCCCAGCTAATTTTTGTATTATTTTGGTAGAGATGGAGTTTCACCATATTGGCCAGGCTGGTCTCAAACTCCTGACCTCAAGTGATCCATTTGGCCTCCCAAAGTGCTATGATTATAGGCTTGAGCCTTGCACCTGGCCCTATTTACCTTTTATTTTTATCACTCTTAATCCTAAATGGTAATCCATGAAATCAAAGGTTTGATGTATAATTGTGTTTTGCTTAATATACTTTAAAAGACAGAACTATTACAATTTAAAATGGTGTATCTACCTAACTACCTCAGTGATCTCACATATCACCAGTAATTCATGAATCACACTTTGGAATGCCCAGCCATTTGAATTCTGCGTTCAGACATAGGCAGATGGCCCCTGATTTGGAGGATGAACCACTGCAGCAGCAGACAATCAAGGCAAACTAAGACCCCAAGAGTGGCTGTGGAGGAGAGTAGAAAAGATACTTTGTTAAGAGTCCAAAGGCCTTGGGTTGGGCCTGACACTACCACTTGCTAGCTTACAACTATCAGGAATTTATTTGATACCTCCCCTTCCTTGAGATCATCTTATCTGTAATAAGGAAATATCTTCCCTATGTGCCCTACAGAGTTATTTTCATAAGAGTCAAATGAGAGAATATGTGCTAGAGTGCTTTAAAACCTCCTATGTTGCTGCATGCATAGAGTGTTAATACTATGAAGCTTAGTTCTGCTTCTCTCCTTCCTCTCTGTATCATGATGGATGGGGCATTTTGTCATAATAGTTAAGAGTACATACTGTATTGTCAAATTGCCTGTATTTGGGTACTGACTTCATCGCTCACTTACTGTTTGACCTTGAGCAACTTAATTAAACTCTCGAAACCTCAGTGCTCTCATGTGTAAAATGGAGATGATGATGATGATAACAGTTCCTAGGGTTGTTTTGAAGATTTGATGAATTGTCTGGGGACATATGGTCTCTCACTGGGAAGACAAGGGTTGAGTGAGAACAACTCTGAAAGTGCAGCACAGCAATCATATTTTGACTGTCAGAGCAGATGGGATCACATTTCTAAAACGTCATCTTGCATTTGGGCCTGGATGTGTGTTTGCAAGTGGGGGATGGCAGCCCCTTCCACTGAGTGCTCAGAAATCACAAGCTTTCCATAAAGACTCCATGCAGAATAGAGAAGGAAGCTGTTGAGGATATGGCTCAAACAAAGATGCTCCACATGCCGGGCTTGCAACTGAGGCAGGGACTGAGCCTGCCATTGGCACTGCTTCTGGTGTGATGGAATGCCCCCCTTCAGGGCCAGGGCAGGGCAGGGCAGGGCAGGATGTCAGTGGAGGTGCCAGATAGCAGGTGTGTGTCCTCACACCGAGAAGACTGGGGCTCAATGAGTTCATCCACCCTCCCTGCTCTTCCTCAGTGAAACTGCAGAAGGGCTCTTGGAAACAGTTTCTTTATACTGGCCATCATGGAACTCCCAGAAAAAACACTGAGGAGGATATTAATCCACTAAGAAAATCAACAGCTTCCCATATGCTCAGGGCCTTAAAGAAATGAAAAAATGGACTGGTAGAAATTGGGTCAGAACCCAAATGACCTCTATGAAGGGGAATTGTCCAGCTAAGCATCTATGATTTTTTTCTTCTTCCGGAGTCTGATTGCTCTTTTTCCTCCTCTTCTCTTACAGAAAATGAAAGAGTACCTGGAGGGCAGGAACCTCATCACCAAGTTACAAGCCAAGCATGACCTTCTGCAAAAAACCCTGGGAGAAAGTGAGTGTGGGAACCCTCTGCTGGAGGCTTGGCAGTGAGGCCAGCTGGAGCTTTCTTGCTGAGCACACGCGTCCATTCTCAGCCAAGTGGACGTGATCTTGTTATATGAATGCCTTTTCTTTTCCTGGCCTGTTTGATGTGGAAGCACACGCCCCAAATGAATGCTTGAGTAATGGGGAAAGGCCAGTGCCTAATGAAGCACTAACATGTATCATCTATTTGTTTAAATGGAGCGTGCCTGCACTCTGCTTCGTCTCCCTGCTTTCGCCTCCTCTGCCACAAGTAGGGTAGAGAGGCTGAGGGGTTGTTTATTCTCCAGACAGTTTGTTAAAACTCCTACCTCATCGGTGGCAGCATTGAGACTGCAGCAAGAAGGTACGGAGCTGTGAGATGAGATACACAGCTGCTCTGAGAGGAGGGAATTCTCAAATGCAGGAGGGATGGACAGACTGCTGCTTTCTATAGCTTCCAGAAAGAGCATCAGTTTCCTTCTGCTTTGAAAGTGTCTTATGCTGTTTAAGTGGCAGCCCTCTCTCCTGTGGCTATGCTGAGGCCATGGTGCTGAATGGACTGTCTTGTCTCATAGAATGATTTTAACCAGACCCTGGAAAGTAGCGAGGCAGAGAACTGGACTGGCACTCTGGACTTTCTCTCCTCAACTGTCAAACAGAAGGTGGAGGTTGAAAGAGAAGCTTCCCCAGGGTTTTTTGGCACCCTGCCCAGATTTCCTGCCTAGCTCTCAGCATCCTATGATTAATGGGATTCCCAGGTTGGGGATGCCTCTGAATGTCCCACCGCTCCTCCCTGCCCCACTAATCCCCTCACTTACAGAGAAGAAGGGAGAAGCTGCAGGGAATATGTGTTAACATCAGCTACAGGCAAGCCTATACCTACACAGAGATCCAACATTTTAAAATAAATTCTTGAGCACTCTCTAGACAAACTGCAAAGTTTAGGAAAATGTGTAATACCCCTTGGCTCTTTGGCCCCAGGAATTGGAACCTCACTTATTATTATACCAGAGCCGCCTACCCACCTTTTCTTCTCTGTCTTTTTCATGCCTTGGATGATTTCCCAGATGATTAATTTTTCTGTAATCTTTTATCTAATGACTTTTTTTTTTTTTTTTTTTTTTTTTTTTTTTCTGTCGCCCAGACTGGAGTGCAGTGGTGCTATCTTGGTCACTGCCAACTCCACCTCCTGGGTTGAAGTGATTCTCCCACCCTAGCCTGCTGAGTAGCTGGGATTACAGGTGTGTGTCACCATGCCCAGTTAATTTTTGTGTTTTTGGTAGAGATGGGGTTTTGCCATGTTGGTCAGGCTGGTCTCGATCTCCTGACCTCAGGTGATCCACCCGTCTCAGCCTCCCAAAGTGTTGGGATGACATGCGTGAGCCACCACGCCTGGCCAATCTTAATAATTTTTTTTTTTTTTTTTTTTGAGATGGAGTCTCACTCTGTCACCCAGGCTGGAGTGCAGTGACGCAATCTCAGCTCACTGCAACCTCTGCCTCCCAGGCTCAAGCCTTTCTCCTGCCTCAGCCTCCTGAGCAGCTGGGTCTACAGGCATGCGCCACCACACCCGGCTGATTTTGTATTTTTGGTAGAGATGGGTTTTCTCCATGTTGGCCAGGCTGGTCTCAAACTTCTGACCTTGGATGATCCCTCTGCCTTGGCCTCCCAAAGTGCTGAGATTAGGGGCGTGAGCCACCACGCCCGGCCAGATCTTATGACTTTTAAGGTATTTTCTTTTATGTGACGAAAGCCTGTTAGATAGTTTCTATTCTCTCTTCCTCACCACCAAAAGGACTCAAACTAAACAAGTTTGAGCATTGAGAGCCAAACTTTGTTTATAGAAAATCTTTAGTCTTGGGTTATCAGATTGCTCCATGGGGAATCAAGACAATCTAAGCATAGTCCATAAGTAAGACAGAGAGCAGGGTGTTGGGTCATACAAATGCGTGCATGTACACTCACATTGTGTGTGAGCGAATGGGTTTACTCACACATTTATGCGCCAAATGTGCTACTATGGAGGGACTAAGGTTGACCATTCATTAGTGCTGCAAATTGCAATAATCTAAAGATGAAAAGTTCTAGCAATAAAGAAAAAAAAACTATAAATCTTCCTGTGTTCAAGTCATCATGTCCCTGCCTTCTGAATGTATTTGTCACCATAATGCAAGAGCCCTGTGTTCTTGCCATAGAGGGATAATTGATGTGTATGAATATTCCAGAATGGAAATGGAACAGATGTTGAAAATAATGGCTCAGAATAATATTTTTGCACATAAGAGCTGAGCCTTTGGTAATGAGAGACAGGGGTGGGGGATGGCATTACTCAAGATTAGCTGAACTGTAAGCAACAATTAGGAACCTTTAAAGGCGAGGAAAGGCCCTGCACTCCCTCCCCCAGCCCTTGGAGTTGCCTTTGTAAGAGCTTGGATGAGAAGGAGTGTGGGCGCTGATTTCTACTTCTCCAGCTCAGCACCTGCTAGGGTTTGCCCCTGGTTTAAATAATGCAGGTTTAAAAACAGATCAAGCTTCATTAACTGTGGACCCAAAGAAAGCAATACATATTTCATTAATCCCCATGTAGATGTGTATGTATGTTTTTTTAAAACATGAGAATACTTCTTATGAACTTGAAGATTTTCAGTTTCATTTTTTTAAAAGCTAGCAATGACCCATTAAACTCTTAAGGTCTACTATTGGATTGTGATTTGATAGCAGTATCAGCATGTCTCTCCCATCTCCCTTGCCACCTCAGTCAAACCTAACAGGAGAATTTCCTATGAATCTAAAACTAGAACATCCATGTCTTCTCTGTCCTCTCCCATAAACAACTCCTCTTATTTGTTCTCCCACGCCCCAGCTGTGTATGTGTGTATGCATACGTGCGCGTGAGCATTCATATACTAGGAGCAAACAAACTTGGCCTTCCACCCCACCACACGCACATCCAACATAAGAGAAGCTAAATTTCATCTCTGGGAGAGCTTCTAATAATTTACTCTATTAAGTATGATCTGTGTTGCTATTATTCCCCTACATCCATTCCTATGTTCCCATTGAGAAGCAGACCCTAAAGTTTAGGGGGACCAACAACCCTGGACTGGGAATCAGCATCAGAAACAGGTCTTGCCCACAAAGAGGATCTTGGTGCTTTCTTTGCTCTCTATCTCTCCTCTCTTTTGCCACACACTGTTATACTATGGCCATCTAGGGGAGATAGGCGTGGTAGTTACTAGGAGTGGGTCTACCTCCTTCACTCCTTCTCCTTTAACATAATGCTTTTTGCCTTTGTCTTTCCAACAGGTCAGAGGACAGATTGCAGTCTAGCCAGGTGAGTGTGGCCTGGGACAGGCCTGGGAAGGGATGGAGGCCTAGGAAGGGGTAGAGCAATCAGTCTGGGAAAGAGCCAGGGAAAGAGTTGTAAGGGCATCGAATGACTTTGCAAAGCAATGGCCTGGGGTGGAGGTTGTTTCCTTCCCTTTGCCTCGCTGACCCCATCTGATCTCAGATAGAAATGAGGTTTTTAGCCAGGCATGGTGGCTCACGCCTGTAATCCCAGCACTTTGGGAGGCTGAGGCAGGTGGATCATGAGGTCAGGAGATCGAGACCACCCTGGCTAACACAGTTTCACTCTGTGAAACCCCATCTCTACTAAAAATACAAAAACAAAATTAGCCAGGTCTGGTGGCATGTGCCTGTAGTCCCAGCTGCTCGGTAGGCTGAGGCAGGAGAATCGCTTGAGCCTAGGAGGTGGAGGTTGCAGTGAGCCGAGATCACACCACTGCACTACACTCCAGCCTGGGTGACAGAGCGAGACTCCATCTCAAAAAAAAAAAAGAAAAAGAAAGAAAGAAATGGGGTTTTCTGGGACTTCGAGAAGGAGCTAAGCAGAACTGAGTTAAAGGGATTATCATTTGCTGAAATAGTCCCAGAGACCCCCAAAAGCCACTGAATTGCAAGGAACATAAGCATTCAACTATAGAGGATCCTGATAACCTAACCTTAGCTGCTAAACTTCAACATATGGGCTTTGGGGAGTCTCTGACCCAGAGAAAGAAGATCAGGAGATGGCATTTGATTATTTTTATGCCCAGAAAAGAAGGCAGCCTCTAATTAGTAGTGACTGTTGCTGGATAATGAAATATTACATTGCATTGGCTTGCCAAGAGCATTGGTAGAAATATTTGCTTGATGTACAAGTATGTACCCCTCCCAATATTTCCCCACCTTCCCCTTCCTCCTCCACCCCAGCCAAATATTTTCCCTCTCACTCACGGTACTGCTATGAGAAAATCTGTGAGCTGGTAGAGAGCAAGGTATTCATTCAGCCAACAGTTCTCAGATGCCTAGAAATGTGCCAATTTAACTAGAGAAAGGACTTTAATGGGTTAGACTCCTTGGAGACCCTTGGTTAGCCCATTATGTCAACCACTTATATCTCCCAACACACACAATAATCATGAGGCCATTTACAATTATAGGCTCATTATTTAGAGATAGCTTCATTTGCCTTTGATCGTTTTGTCATTGTGAATTACAATAAAGATGCCATTAATATACCAGTCTTGATGATGGGAGGGAACCAGGATAATGGGATTCTCTGGAACACATATTTTTGGTGTTAGAGTCTTAGTTTAAGTTCACCTGAGGTCCTGACTCTACGGAAGGCTCTGTGGGACTGAAAAGAGCTGAGTTGAATTTCCTGATGCTGAGTTATTTTGCTGAGACCTTGGGCCACATCTTTCACCTCTCTGAACTCTGGTTTCCTCTTCTATAAGACCAGAGCACTTCATTACATTCAAGAAGCTCTAGGATTCCAAAGGGGTTCCCCAGGAGTGGCCTGGTGGCAGGGGCAGAGCAGTGACCAGCAGCCAGGTTCTGGTCCCATCCCTCTGGTCACACGGAGCAACACAGCTCTGGCTTCCTTGGTTGGGTGTTGTGCCTCTGAGTCAGATTCTCTTTGAGAAAAGACTTCTGAGGCTAAACGCAGCTTGGGAAAACATTGACCTGGAGGATCCCCAAGGTTCTTTCCAAACTGGATGTTCTGCACTCTAAATCCAGAAAAATTGCCCTGTGTAAAGATAGCGATCTTTAAGGATTTCCTAGAGAAACAAAACAAAAGGAAAACTGTAGCATCCTTTGGTGTTTACCAGTGTCTCCTTGCAGACAAAAAAATACTCTTAATGTCTAACCCAAATATTACTACAAACTGAACCAGTTCTGTCCTATTCTAATTGTGAGTAGTGGTAGACATTAAATACAGGGATGTCTGTACTTTTGCCTGGGGGGGGGGGGGAATAAGCTTTATTGTGGAAGTAATATATCAAGTCTCTTAGCCATTTCTGGGACTGAACTGAATAATGTCACATGTTTCATTAGCTACCACACAGATTGTTTTTAATTATTGAAAACTTTACTTCTGGGTTTAAAAGTGATTGTTTATCTCCTTTGTCCCAATTTTCTGTTTTTCTTCCTTGTTGCTGGATTGGTCCACTCTGATTCGGCGGGATTGGTCACAGGCGCAGCTCAACTGTGAGGAAACAGGTAAGAGCCCAGCCAGGACCTGGCTGGTCTGGCCTGAAATATAGTCCATCCCGCAGGCATTTATTGAGCACCACTGTGTGCAGGACAGACACTTCTGACTTCATGCCTGCATTTGGAATGTATCATTTAGTCAGAGTATATTTAATACTGTGGCAACATCATTGATTTAACTAGTTGAAGTGGCCAGTCTTGTTCCTCTCCTTTCTGGTCATTTATCCTCTTGCATACTAAAGGTTTGGTTTGATTGGTGTAGATTGTTCCAGAACTGCCCATGGCATCCTTTTCTGAGACCACAAAAGAGGCTTGACACTTCCTACATATGTGCTAACATATCAGTAACTCACAGCACCTAATTACCTAGACCAGACAATCTCGCTTTAAGTTGGTAGATTTTGTTTGATTGTTTCTGGTAGTATAGTCATTATGGATGGATTCCTAGGATATTCTAACAAGGCAAAGATTAAGTCCAGTCTAGGAACGATAGGCAAGAGCCATTCAACTCTGCAGTTTGGTACATGATCTTCAGTGTTGTATTAAAATCTGCTACTGGGCAGCCAGCTCTCATTACCCATATTAGGAAGGATCTTAGAGAGCGGTGGCATGGATAATCCACATCACTGGATAATCTAAACAGCACTTGTGCTTGTTCAAAAAAAATTAATTGAAGTATTTTTTGCAGTAGCAAATTTGACTTCCTAATTATACTTTATGGCAAACACTGAAATGATTTTATGTCACCTAAGCTCATGCAGTAGACAGCAAGGAGGGCAGGTGGAGAGAGCTCAGAAATATCTTTGTGTCTGCTCAGGGGAAAGCTAATCCAGGCTTTAAAAAATCATTTTGGGTAATTCTCAGTGGCTCTAGCCACAGGGAGATAACCGAATAAAGAGGGCACATGGTTTCTGTGGTATCGGCAGCCCCAGCGTTTCTTCAGCTCATCTGACTGCTCTGATGGGGTGGACCATTAAGCTGGGGAACTTGGATGACATAGGCCTCACTTGTCTTAGCTTTGCTGTCACTATTTTCCCCTTCTCTACTTTGGATCTTATCTTAATGCAAATGCCATCAGATGCAATTATGCATTTTTTAAATTATAAAAATTTAATTGCAACTCTCCTTCCTCTTGTTCTTCTCTTTCTTTTTCCTCTTTCTCCCGTAATTTCATTTAAAAGTAGAGAGGAATGGAGTGACTTCTAGGGATAATTTATTGCATTTAAAATTAATAGGGGCATATCTTGTAGAGGGAGCAAGCCATTTTCCCTTTAACACTAAGAAAAAAAATGAAAGATGCCAGTTTCTTTTCAGTTCCTAGGCTGAAACTAGGCATCTTGCTTATAGATGGAACATGTGTGCAAGGGCTTTGCAGCCTCCACTGTGGCTGCAGGAGTGCCAGAGACCACAGTTTGGCAGGTGATATGTGTCCTTGGTTGGGCTCACCATTGGAAGAGAACAGCACCCATCTGGTTTGCATCCTGCTGCCCCTAAGCAGTTTTAGGCAGAGTGTGTTTGCCTGGTGCTAGATTTGCATAGCAGTTACAGGATACGCCAAAATCCCCAATCAAATAAAGATTTTGTTTTCATTCTGTTGCCCCAGTTTCTCTCTAGCAGTTCGAATCTACTAGTGGATCAGCAAAAGGTTTTCCTAAAATGGTAAGGAAGGTAAAATAGTATGTTACTTAGATGATGAGTCTTGTATAAGTAACCAGGAAATAATTGTCTGTGTGTTTGTTTGTTTGTTTATGGCAAATCAGGCAAACAAGAGGAAGAAGCTAGTAACTTTTGTTTTTGAGGGTCCCTAATGGGTTCCAGTCATTTTTGACCCTGTCGAAGAACAGGTTTAAACCGTTCCAGATCTTTTTTTAAAAGAAGATACTTCCACTGCTGCTTCCAGACCTTCCCTGCTCCCTGTAAGCTCAGCATTATTTCTCTCCTGGCTGTGACTTCATATCTTCTTTGTTGGCCTTTCTTTCTCCATTTCTCTAAATTTAGGCATTTCTCCAGGGCCCTGTCCTCTCATGATGTCTCTCTGTATTCTTTCCCTTGTCACTCTTGTTCCCTGAGATGAATCTTTCTCTTCTCCCTAAGCATTCTTTTGTTCTATAATGCTGTCCTTTTGAGTCTTTGGGTATAACTCCTCAGTGATCGACTAGACATTTATGCTTGAAAGTTGTGAAAGCACCTTCTACCTTCAGCATCAGTCTCACCTTCCCTCATCACATTTCGATTTGCGTAGCCCCTCCCCTCACATCTCCATTAAAGCTCAGGGGGACTCCATTCGTCACAGTCCCTGAGGCTCCAAATCTTATTTTTGATGCTTTTTTTTTTTTTCTCGTTACTCACATATAATTTATTGTCAGGATTTGTATTTTCTCCATTGGTGAAAATGAAAATTGACAAATGTACAAATTAGTACCTAACAAAAACTCTAACCTTCTTATGTGAAATTATGTCAGGTAATGCATATTCAGAGATTTTCTGGCCACCTTTCTGATTTTTTTTTTTTTTTTTTTTTTTTTGAGACAGTGTCTGGCTCTGTCACCCAGGCTGGAGTACAGTAACACAGTCTTGGCTCACTGCAGCCTGCACCTCCTGGGCTCATGCAATCCACCCACCACAGCCTCCTGAATAGCTGGGACTAAGGTGTACACCACCATGCCTGGCTAATTTTTTTTTTTTTTTTTTTTTTTTTAAGAGAGACTAAGTTTCACCATGTTGCCCAGACTGGTCTCAAATTCCTGAGCTCAAATGATCCACCCCACCCCAGCCTCCCAAAGTGCTAGGACTACAGGCCCGAGCCACCTCGCTGGCCCTTTTTGATTGCTTTCTCCTGCAAATCATTGGACCACTGCTTTACTCTGTTTTCTAGCTTAGGCCCTATCTTTCTCCCTCCACTTTTGACTTGAAGTTTCCTTAATCTGATCGGATGAGAATTTGGCCTGATTCCTTAAAGACCCCTTCTAAACCTAAGATTTCATGACAAAAAAAAAAAGTGTGTAAAGGAATTAAACTGACAAGGATTTAAGAGAAGGTAGAAAGGAAGAGACATAGTGCATAAAAATATAGAAACTGCTCAGCCTGGGCTCATGCCTGTAATTCTAGCACTTTGGGAGGCCAAGGTGGGTGGATCACCTGAAGTCAGAAGTTCAAGACCAGCCTGGTCAACATGGTAAAACCCCGTTTCTACAAAAATTAGCCAGCCATGGTGGTGGGTACCTATAATCCCAGCTACTCGGGAAGCCGAGGCAAGATAATCACTTGAACCTGGGAGGTGGAGGTTGCAGTAAGCAGAGATCATGCCATTGTACTGCAGCCTGGGCTACAAGAGTGAGACTCCATTTCTAAGTAAATAAACAGATCAAACTCCATCAGCTCTATGCAAGGGCAATGGTGAAGTGCAGGTTTTCATGGCACCACAGGAGCTCACAGGCACATCCTGGGGAAATGAATTTACTCATTGTTCAGAAACATTACAAGGGGAGAGGAGGATGGCAGGAGCATTCAAAGCCTTTGTTTGTGACTTTGTCCATTCTGTGCTCCTACTGGACGCTTAGACTCCACTGGAGCAATGGGGACTAGAAAAATGCTTGTGCAGTAGGACAGGCCATCTCTAGCCTACGCTTGTCTGCCACAGATTATCCACTGGGGGCTGCATGTGAGTGCTGCTGGCAACCACAGACATGCAGGTTAATATTTTTGATGCCCTCCTTCCTGCCAACCCTTTGTACTTACCTCTAAATACCACTGATATTCCATTTCCTGCACATGCAGGCCAAATTTTGTACTCACATAATTTGTTGAAGCCAATAGCCTGTAAGCTTTCCAACTTTCCTCTCTCTAGGTCATAATATATAAATCTAGGATCAACAAAACTATGCAGACACTCATATCACTATCTTTATTATTACTGCTGCTACCGTTTTTAATAATTTTTATTAATGCACAATAATTGTACATATTTATGGGGTACATACACTTTTGATACGTGCATGCAATTTGTAATAATCAAATCAAGGTAATTAGGGTATCTATCACCTCACATATTTATCATTTGTGTGTGTGTGTGTGTGTGTGTGTGTGTGTGTGTGTGTGTATTGAGAACATTCCAAATCTTCTAGCTATTTTGAAATATCCGATAAATTATTGTTAACTGTTGTCATCCTGCTGTGCTATAACCAACCTCACTTTTTTTTTTTTTTGAGGCAGAGTCTTGCTTTATCACCAGGCCAGGCTAGAGTACAGTGGAGCGATTTTGGCTAACTGCAATCTCCCATCTCCCAGTTCAAGCGATTCTCTGCCTCAGCCTCCCATGTAGCTGGGATTACAGGCAGGCACCACCATACCCGGCTACTTTTTGTATTTTTAGTAGAGATGGAATTTCACCATATTGGCCAGGATGGCCTTGAACTCTTGACCTCAGATGATCTGTCAGCCTTGGCCTCCCAAAGTACTGGGATTACAGGCATGAACCATTGCACCATGCCCAACCTCAGACTTTTTTTTTAATTTTTGAGACAGAGTTTCCCTTTTGTTGCCCAGGCTGGAGTGCAGTGGTGCAATCTTGGCTCACTGCAACCTCAGCCTCTCAGGTTCAAGCAATTCTCCTGCCTCAGCCCCTTGAGTAGCTGAGATTACAGGCACCTGCCACCATGGCCAGCTAATTTTGTATTTTTAGTAGAGATGGGTGGGGTTTCACCACGTTGGCCAGGATGACCTCGAACTCCTGACCTCACGTCATCCACCCGTGTCGGCCTCCCAAATTGCTGAGATTACAGGCATGATCACCTGGCCCAACCTCACTTCTTAACCCCTCCATTCCCCGCTATCCTTCCCAGCCTCTGGAAACATCATTTTACTCTCTGCCTTCATGTGATCAACTTTTTTAGCTTATGCATACAAGTGAGAATATGCAGTAGTTATCTTTCTGTGCCTGGCTTTTTTTGCTTAACACAATGTCCTCCAGTTTCATCTATGTTGCTGCAAGTGACAGAATTTTATTCTTTTATTATGGCTGAATAGTATTCCATTGTATATGTATACTAAGTTTTACCCATTCATCTATTGATGGACACTTAAGTTGCTTCCATATCTTGGCTATTATGAATAATGCAGCAATAAATGTGAGAGTGCAGTTATACTGATACTTCAATATACTGATTTCTTTTCTTTTGGATATATATCCAGCAGTGGGCCTACTGGATCATATGGTAGATCTATTTTTAGTTTCTTGAGGAGCTTCCATACTGTTTTCTGTGATGGCTGTACTAATTTATATTCCTGCCAGCAGTGGACAAGCATTCCTCTTTCTCTGCATCCTTGCCAGCGTTTGTTATTTTTTTGTCTTTTTAATAATTGCCATTTTTAAATTGGAGTGAGATTGTATCTCACCGTGTTTTTTAAAAGTTTACATTTCTCATGATTAGTGACATTGAGCATTTTTTCTACATACCTGTTGTCCATTTGTATGTCTTTTGAGAATGCCTATTCAAATCATTTGCCCATTTTTTTAATCAGATAGTTTGTTCTTTTGCTATTGAGTTTTTTAAGTTCCTTATATATTCTGGTTATTAATCCTTTATCAGATGGATAGTTTGCACATACTTTCTCCCATTCTTTAGGTCATCTCTTCACTCTGTTGATCGTTTCCTTTGCTATGCAAAAGCTTTGTAGCTTGAGATAATCCTATTCATCTATTTTTACTTTTATTGCCTATGCTTTTGAAGTCTTATTCAAAAAATCTTTGCCCAGACCAGTATCCTTGAAGCATTGCCCCAGTGGGTTTTTTCAGTTGTTTCATGGTTCAGGTCTTACATTGAAGTCTTTAATCCACTTTGATTTGTTTATCTATATGGTGAGAGATAGGGCTCTAGTTTCATTCTTCTGCTGCCATTATTTATGAATGAGAAATATAATAACAAGTCTGTAAACATAAAAAGACTTCTCCCAAATTGAGCTTTTTTGGTATTTTTATGGTAGAACCCAGTTTCTTCCTTAGAGTAAGGAAGATGAAGATTCTTCCCCTGAGATCACCCTAGCCTAATTTGCCAGTCAGTGATGCCAACAAGAGGACAGACACTGGCTGCTATGGCTGGAAAGCTGGAGGAAGCAGATGGGTTTAGGGGTCATGAAGATGAGCATTTGGGTTGCTTAGACCGTCCTGACACCAACTCCCCTTTGGCATCATCCCTGGTTCCCAGAAAGCTTGAGAGCTAGAGGCTAAGCCGGTTCTCTCTCAGCCTGACTTCTTTGTGAGGCCCAGCTGCTTGCCTAATAGTGGCCAAACCCTATGGCTACAGTGGCAAATTCAGAGCAAGAGTAGGGATCCATGCTAGCCTGTCAAACAAGCAGAAGCTATACGGACCCATCCCACTTGAGAGTCCAATCTCTGTCCTAACGTCTAAAGCCCTTTCTAGTTAAGTTCAGGCCCCTCTTGCTGATCTTTCTTCCACACAGCTGAATTATTATACATTCTGCTGCATTATAAAACCCTGCTGGTTTAGACCAGGCACAATGGTTCATACCTGTAATCCCAGCACTTTGGGAGTCCAAAGCAGGAGGATTGCTTGAGGCTGAGTTTGAGACCAGCCTGGGCAACATAGTGAGATTCCATCTCTATGAAAAAATTAAAGATGTGCCGGGTGTGATGTGGGTACCTGTAATTCCAGCTACACAGGGGTCTGAGGCAGGAGTATCACTTGAGACTAGTTGCTCAAGATTAAATTGAGTTATGATCATACCACTGTACTCCACCCTAGGCTACAGAGGGAAACTCTGTCTCTAAAAACAATACATTAATTAAAAATATAAAATAAAACCCTACTGGTTTTGTGTGATATTTGGTATGCACACCTGGCAATGTTTGCTGAACTCCTAGGGTGCAGTATGGGTAGTGGTAAAGTGTTGGGTCTTCGAGGGAGATTGCCTGGGTTTGAATCCTGGGTTTACCACCTGCCAGCTATGTGAGCATAGCAGCTACTTAACCTCACTAAGCTTTCATTTCTTCATTTTTCTTTTCTTTTTCTCTTTTGAGACAGGGCCTCACTCCACCACCCAGGATGGAGTACAGTGGCTTGATCTTGGCTCACTGCAACCTCTGGCCCCTGGGCTCAAGCAATCCTCCCACCCCAGCCTCCCAAGTAGCTAGGACCACAGGCGTGTAACACCATGCCAGGCTATTTTTAGTAGAACCAGGGTCTCACCATGTTGCCCAGGCTGTTCTCACACCCCTGATCTCAAGCGATCTGCCAGCCTCAGCCTCCCAAAGTGTTGGGATTACAGATGTGAGCCACCACACCTGGCTTCACTTTTTCATTTTTCAAATGAGTATAATAATAATAATACCTACTCCATAGGATTGTTACCAGCACTGGTCCATCTAAAGGAGTTAGTATGTGGTCCCACACCTCTTTAAATTTCTCTATAAATGGTAGGTACTAATGTTCATGTTCTAATAGGAAATATTACTCTCCTTGCCTCCAGTCCCCTCCTCAGTCTGTAGAAGGCAAATTGAGGCCCAGAGAAGTTCAGTGTCATGAACCAGATTTTGAAGCAAAACAACAGAGCAAAGATTGACATCTGGGAGGCCTGCTTCTTTGCTTAGTACCTATCAGTCCCCACTATTTAGTTTTCCTTTTCTTTCTTACCTTTATACCAAACAAACCCTCTTTCTGAAGCCTCCATTAGTTCATCCGGCTACCTTCAACTGAAAATAATTGAGCACCTCCTATGTGAGAGCATCATGGCCAACCCTGGACACTCAGGAATTGACATAGGATCTCTGCCCTTATGGAGCTTGATCTGTAGTGGTGACAAGTGCCAACAAATATTCACATCCACACATTGGAGTCGCAGTCAGGGTTGAGGAGAATATGCCCCCAGCAGGAGCAGCTCATGCAGAGCCACGAGGGAAAGAGGACTTTACAGAACAGAAAGGTGGCCAGCATGGCTGTAGCAGAAGCTAGGGGAAAGGACAGACAGTGGAACTGGAGGCAAAGGCAGGATCTCGACATGCAAGGCTTTATAAAAGAGAGTAATGAGAGGTCTTTGAAAGAGTTTAGATAATGAAATGTACACTTTTAAAGATTACCTAATCACTATGTGAAGGAAGAGAAATGTGGCTCAGAGGATGGGAAGGATGGGAATTGAGGTATTGGTAGATTGAACTGGGTTGGTGGCAGTTGAGATAGAGAAGTGAATGGATTTGAGAGGTAGTTAGAAGCCAGATGTGACAGAATGTATTGATTGATTAGGTGGTGGGGAAGGCGGTGAGAAACTGGTTTGGGATAAAACATGATCAGTTTTATTTAGGACATGCTGACTTTAAGGCATCTGTGTAGCATTCCATGTAGATGGTTGTATTTTTGTGCTCTGGAACTTGGAGGACAGGCCAGGTGCTTCTTTGTAGACCGGCCGCTGATCCGCTGAGACAGTTCTGCGCAGTTTGGCCCATTTTCTCTGACCCTGGGCTATACCTATTCAAAGATTCTAATGTTGTGTTTCCCTTTGGCTTTTCAGGACTCCAGCCAGGCAATTCCTCTGGTGGTGGAAAGCTGTATCCGGTTTATCAGCAGACACGGTAAGCAGGATGACAGCCTTGTCCATATTTGTGCAAAGATTGGAAAGAACTTCCAGGAATTCTTTATAAAGTAAGAATAGAGATTGACTTTCCATCCTGACATTCTCAGAAAAGGAATAAATTCTTATTTGTCCTTATAATGTTTAATACCCCAGGATAGCCACACCTAGACATTGAAAGAAAGGCATCACATATTTTGACCCAAAATGCCTCAGCCACTTATCACACAGCATTTATTTAGCTTGAGAGTAAGTTTTAAATTACAGCTGTTATATAAATACAGCTGCTATTACGTGGTAACAGTAGTCTGACCGTTACTCAGAGCCTTTGCAAGTGTGGGTTATCTCCCACTGCACAGCCTGACCATTTTGTCACTCTCTATACCAGACTGGTTTGAAAACAACTCCTTTCTCCATGTTGCAGTGATTCCTTATAATCAGTTTTTGTTCTGGTTTGGTCTCACTGGATACAGCGTGGCCAAGAACTCAGTTAGTAGCTGGTCTTAAAGTTGTATCCAGCTTTTGAGAATCTGCAAAGGCAGATTTCATCTTGACCTAAGTAAAATCGTATTCTCTTCTACTTGGATGAAGGTGAATCTTATAAACTCCATTCCTCATCAGTTACTGGTCTCATTGGACAGAATTTACAGTGGAAATAATTGCCAGAGAATTGATTTCCCAATGATTAGAGTGTTTAGAAAGGACAGAACTAGTGTTATGAAAATTTCTAGGAACTGGGCATCAGAAATTGTTTTTAGATGCTATCCTTTCTGGATAGGAAAAAGGGCAGTGTGACCTTTCTGGAGCTAAGGAACTATATAAATGTCTAAATTCAGAGGCAGCTATTCTCCCTCCCTCCCCTTGCCTTTTCCTCTCCCTGTAAACTGGGACATTGCTCAGGTTCATTTTTGGAATAATAATTATGATAGCGTGGTTACAATGTATCTCATTCTAATCAGCTGTAATTTTTAATCTTACCCTTATTCATTTAAAGTAACAGCATTGTATATCAGTTTTGAACAGTCAACAAATTTATCAAGTCCCTGATCAATGCTGGACACCATGCATTTCCAAGTGAGAAAACAGAAACAGGACTAATATACTTTCCCTGTCTTTAAGTGGTTTTATGATGCAGTTGGGAGAAAATAAGTAAGCAAGTAATAAGTTAAATAAAGAGATAAGCTGTGGTAATTTAGAATAGGAGTATAAGAAATTTCACAAGATAGTAATGACTAATAGTCAAGCAATTTGCAAAGAGAAGTCCAAACTGAGTTCAGGCAAGGACGAAATATTTGTGCCTAAGAGACAATAGGAAGAAGCAAGTCTGAGCCACTGTTCATTCAGCATACATTTCATTCATTCAGCAAATACATATTGATTGCTTATTATATGCCAACAAAAAGTTTCTGGCTTCATGAATCTTACACTCCACTGAAAGGTGGATAAGCAGATGACCAGTTGACCAGCCAGTAAATACAATATGTCAGGTATTGCTGAATGTCACTAAGAAATGTAAAGCAAGGTGAGGGGATGGAAAAGGGAGAGGGGACACTGTTTGAAGCTGGTTCAGGGAAAATGATTCTCCCAAGGTGGTGTTAGGACAGAGTTGTGAGGGGGTAAGCCTTGTGGATACTTGGGGAAGAGTATCTTGGAGAGAGGGGACAAGTGCAGAGACCCTTGCCATATGCAGGAAGCCAGCATAGCTGGAGCAGAGCGAGTGAAGAAGAAAGTGACAGGAGATGAAGCCAGAAGCCAGACACTTAGGGCCTCATGTGCTAGGATTGGATTTGATTCTGAGGGACATGGGAAGCCACTGGAGAATTCTGAACAGGGAGTCATCTTTTTAAAGGATCCCTGGCTGCTCTATGGAGATAAGATGTAAGAAGGAGACAGGAAGCTACTGCAGTAACCCAGGGAGGACATGGTGGTGGCCTAGACCAGGGTGTTAGCTGTGGTATTTGCTGAAAAGTGGATAAGTTCCAGATACTGTGGCTGAATGTACCTGTTTCTGCCCCTTACAGGCACAGTGCATGGGGAGACAAAAATGTAGCATATTATTGTGGTGAGGCTCTGGGGAAACAGGCACACTTCTGTGTTGCTGATGGGAACACAAACTGACACAAGTCTTTTGGAAGGGAATTTGGCAGTATCTGCCAAAATTTTAAGTGCACTTAACTTCCGATCTAGCAGATTCTAGGAATTCACCATGAAGTTATATCTCCAGCAGTACAAAAATGCATATGCACAAGGTTATTTGTGGCAGCATTTTTTGTAATCGCAAAGTATTAGAAACAACTTAAATACCCATACATAGAGGTGTGGTTGAAAAAACTATGGTATATTCATTCAGTGGAGCACTATGCAAGAATGGGAAAGATTTCCTTGAACTGATATGGAGAGATTCCCAGGATATGTTAAGTGAAAAAAACAAAATATGAAAGAGTCTCCATCGTGTAGCCTACTACAGATGCTCCTTGACCTCTGCTGGGGTTGCATACAGATAAACCCATATTAAGTTGAAAATGTATTTGAATACACCTAACCTAGGGAACATCATAGCTTAGCCTAGCCTGCCTTGAATGTGCTCAGAACACTTACACTGGCCTACATCATCAGGCAACACAATACACTATAGAGTATGGGTTGTTTACCCTGGTAATCACATGGCTGACTGGGATCCGTGGCTCTCTGTTGCTGCCCAGCATCACAAGAGAATATTGTACTACATTTTGCTAGCCTAAGAGAAGATCAAAATTGGAAGTATTTCTCCTGAATGCATTATTACTTTTGCATCATCATAAAATCAAACAATCCTAAGTCAGACCATTATAAGTCAGGGACTATCTCTATAGTCTTTTGCATTTTATTACCTTTCATGTAAGAGAGAAGAACATATACGAATATCCATGTATCTTCTCATTTCTGCTAAAAGAAATGCAGGAAGGATTAATCTAGGAACTAATGTTTAACTGGTTACCTATAGGGGACGGATGGAAAAGAGGTAAAAAGAATGGGGCAATGGGAAATGGTAAGGAGTGGCATTTCTCTCGGCATACCTTAGGGTAGTTTTGACTTTTAGAACAACATTAGTGTTTCTCATACTCAAAAGATAAACAAACAGGCCGGGTGCCATGGCTCACACCTATAATCCTAGCACTTTGGGAGGCTGAGGCGGGCAGATCATTTGAGGCCAGGAGTTCTAGACCAGCCTGGCCAACATGGCAAAACCCTGTCTCTACTAAAAATGCAAAAAATTTAGCTAGGCGTGGTGTTGGGCACCTATAATCCCAGCTACTTGGGAGGCTGAGGCACTAGAATCACTCAATCCCAGGAGGAAGAGGTTGTGGTGAGATCATGCCATTGCACTCCAGCGTCGACGACAGGGTGAGACCCTGTCTCAAATAAATAAATAAATAAAGGCAGGGTGAGGGTACAACCCAAAGTGGAATGCAAACAGTAATAAATAAACCTAACTGTATTACAAATGAATAACATAACCACAGGGAAGAGAGTGAAGAAGAAAATAACCTAAGAAATTTGTCTTGATATATAACATAAATCTGAAGATAAAAAGATTTCTAAACAAATATTTTACAGTAATTAGTAATTTTTAATTACATAGATATGGATTAGCAATTCTAAAAGTATCTTATATATATTCTAGGATTAAGCAAATAAGTATATTGTGGATTTTTGTTTGTTTGTTTTTTGAGACAGCCTCACTCTGTCACCAGGTGCCAGGCTGGAGTGCAGTGGCGTGACCTCGGCTCACTGCAACCTCCGCCTCCCAGGTTCAAGCAATTCTCCTGCCTCAGCCTTCCGAGTAGCTGGGACTACAGGCATGCACCATTACACCCAGCTAATTTTTTTGTCTTTTTAGCAGAGATGGGGTTTCACCTTGTTGGCCAGGATGGTCTCGATCTCTTGACCTCGTGATCCGCCCACCTCGGCCTCCCAAAGTGCTGGGATTACAGGCATGAGCCACTGCGCCTGGCCTATTGTGGATTTTTTAATTTAGCACATAGTAGCTGTGCTACTAAATCTGTCCCACTAAATTGATTTTTCCCAAATAGGGACTTGAGGTACTCATAAACTCCCTAAAAAACCATGGTAAAAATTTTTGTGTATATGCGTTTAATGAGAATAGAGCTTATAACTTGTGTTAGCCTTGAAAGAGTCTGTGGCCCACTGAATGCTGGGGTTTTCACATCCTAACAGCCCTCAAATTCCTTGAGAGGTAGACATTATAGTCCCCATTATATAGATGAGGAAGCTCAGTGGTAGGTGAGGGTGATCCAGGAAGGCTTAAAGGAAGAGAAGGGATTTGAGGAACAATTGAAACTGAATCATGATGGAAAAAAAAACCCCACCATTTTCATGAGGAAGGGAGCAACAGAATGTGAACATGAGATGACTGCTGTAGAAATCATTTCAAGAAGTCTCCAGAACAGCTTTTGGCAATGGCTGGATCTAGTGCATAATGGAAGGTTTTGTGCCATTTCCAAAAAACTTCTCCAAGTCTGATGAGTTTTATACTTTCATCTTAGTGTGAACTAAGAAAAAATTTAAAAGATCATGGATGTGTCACTTTGGTTATGCAAGGATTCACCTGCATTATAATAAAAAGCCAACTGGTTTTTCCCTTCACTTTCTGGAAACCAGCCACTTATTAATGTTTCTGCTTCCAGAATCTAGAGATTCTGTCTGTTGAGCAAGAACACATGGTAGTCCCTCCAAAGCATAAGTTCTCAAGAGGAAACAGAGACCAGACCTAAAGAGAGCTCCGTGTGTTCCAGGCCTGCTGCCTGATTTCCAATGAGCTCTTCTCTCATTTCTTCTTGTCCTGGACTCCCAGGCCAAGGCTGCTTTTCCGTGGTGTTCTAACCTACCAAAAAGTATCAAGATGGTGACTCTGTTTCAGGAATTTGTGCAGTGGCTTCACCAACCAGAACATAGTGAGTAGCCTGGTTTCTGAGATGGCATTTGCTTATACCGTGTTGTGACATGTGGCTGTTTCTCTCAGAGCACTTGTTGTTTACATATTATATTTAAACCACATTATCTGGCTCTTACATCCCATTTGTAACTAATATTGTAGTCGTATTACACTGGTACTAATGAGATTTTAACGTTGCCTGCCACTCTGTGAGGAGTATCCTGGAGATTCCCTTACAGGAGCAGACAACTTAAGACCTATTACAAGCCAGGTAGCTACACTTCCTCTGCTTACTTCTTAATGTTGTTTCAATTGGATTCAAAATTTCAGTCCCAGCCTATATGGTTTACTTCCAAAGATCTAGCTGATAGAATTTATCTGCCCCCTCAGAGACCCTCAAACAGTGGGCAAAATGTAGCATTAGCCTGTTTTGTTTTCCTAAAATAAATTTGAGATTTCTCTAGCATGCCAAGGTTTTTGAAAGATTGTGCTATAACAGAGGGATTTTGACAAAATACCTAAGATTGAAACCCAGGGATCCTGAGAAAAACTGAGTGGTCCTGATGCAATCAGAGATGCTAGTTCAGTCCAACCCCCGGGGCTGGCACTGATGATGTGCTTCCTGGATTTCTGACCAGTTTTGCAGTTGCGTGATTGGTGCTGTCTGTAAGGGATGTCCATGCTCAGACTGACCAGTGTGGTTCCCAACCTCTGCAGTCACACTCCACTAGGCTCCACAAGCCTGGTGTTGAGGACTGAGTATGATTGCAGCCCCAAGGCCTGAGTTTGAGTCCTGGCCCTGGTTCTTACTTCCTGTATAACTTAACGCTGGCCAACACTCATCAATCCCCTCATTCAGAAAATGAGATTGTTGCTAACCTTTACCTTGTTGTGACATCATTACTTGTGAGGACCAAGTAATTTATTTCTATGACAGCATTGATTAGCAGCAGTCACTATGCCAGCATTTTTTTCAAGATTTTTTTCTACTCTAACAAAACTAAGAAGTTTTTGTGCACATTATCATAGTGTAACATTCACACATGTTTGTCTTTAGACTGAAGCTGTGGTCAGGAACCAGTGCCTAGCACAGTGTCTGGCAATACTATCTGTTGACTGATCATTTATAGCAAGCTGTTCAACCCGTGAGCCATGGGCCGCAACACAAATTCATAAACTTTCTTATAATATTATGGGGTGTGTGTGTGTATGTGTGTGTGTGTGTGTGTGTGTGTGTGTGTTTTAGCTCATCAGCTATCGTTAGTGTTAGAGTATTTTATGTGTGGCCCAAGACAATTTTTCCAATGTGGTCCAGGGAAGCCAAAAGATTGGACGGACGCTCCTGACTTAGAGTTTCATGTCCTCTCTTTTTCATAAGTATTGAAAGCATTGTCCCTTTGAACAATCAAACTGTGTTAGAACAGCTAAAGCAATATTATAATCTCAGACCTTATGAAACTCCTCTGATGAGAACTAATGCCTTGACCCATTTCCCATTCTTTTTTTTTTTCTTTGAGATAGGGTCCACTCTTTTACCCAGGCTGGAGGGCAGTGGTGTGATATAGCTCACTGTAGCCTCTGACTTCCAGGTTCAAGTGAGCCTCCTGCTTTTGCCTCCTGAGTAGCTGGGACTACAGGCAAGCTACAAACCGTGTGCCTGACTACTTTAAAACACTTTTTAGAGACGGGGTCTCATTATGTTGCCCAGACTAGTCTCAAACTCCTGGCCTCAAGCAGTCCTCCTGCCTCAGCTTCCTGAGTACATTTTTCTGTTCTTGACCCTAGATGATTTTTAAGAAGTACCAATGGGTCACTTCCTTGCTTTACAGCTGAGAGCAGAGAAGTAAAGACAAGGGAAGGAACCTGCCTCGTAGTTACCTGTGGAGTCAGAGGAATCTCTAACTTGGTGCTTTCTAATGAAAGCTAATGCCTCAAAATTATTCCAGTGACTTTTCCAACATCCTTGTACATGTTTTTCTCCTTTGGCCTGAAGAAGAGAGACAGCGTGCTTACACTGGCTGGGGGAGATAGGCATTCAACTAAGCTTGGCGCTATGCTTGTGAATTTGCTTTTTCTTCTTGATCACTTTTCTGTGCGTTTCCAGGACTACAGCATGAAGGAATTTTTCGGGTGTCCGGATCCCAGGTGGAAGTGAATGACATCAAAAATGCCTTTGAGAGAGGTAAGGAAACAGTCTTGAAGATAAAACCAAATATTTGCCAGCCCCCTGGGGTATTGGCTCCACCCTTTCTTCCCTAAGAGGTCCCCAGAAGTCAAGAAACCAGCTTGCCTGTCTCTTCAGGGGGCACCTGCTCTCTTGTACACATTCACCCCGTAGATATGCAGGGAAATACCAGGGTATGTCCCAGTTTCCTTCTTCCTTTGTGGCCCTACCCATCCTGCCTCTCTCATGCCGACGATCTGCCAAAACCAAGAAGTTAACTATGATATCTGGGCGGTTTATGGCTTCATCCGGAACCCTTGGTGGCAGTTAATATCAACGCTAATGTGCTTGTTCATTGTAGCCCATTTATTATCTTGTGGGCTATTAAGGTAATGGGCAAGCTTTGGCAATTTCCGTCACTGTAATGGATATATATAGTTTCAATTTGAGGTTGGTCATATCATTAAATCTAATTACATCTGATACGAAATTTTCCATAGGGAGCTCCATCATGATTGTTCTGTAAGTAGGTGTTCTTGGTTGCAGGCCAGGAGACTTGAGAGCCAGTCTCAGGAGCTGGCCTCCTTGGCCTCATTTTTCTCCCCCCAGGGGCTTAGTCCCAGCCTGGTTTCACGATTCTTATGAGAGATAGTTGCTGTGTCCCATTCACAGCCGATAGGGAATGTCCCTGAGCTAGGCTGGCACAAGAGAGTTTATATTGATGGGCTCGTCTCCTGTCCTTTGGTCCTGGAGCCCCTGAAACGGAGCAGTCTTTGCTTTATCTGTTCTCTGATCTGTCCCACTCATGGGCACCATGCTGGGCAGAGAGCTGATGGACTGGGACCAGGACATAAATGGTTCACCCCTTCCCCACCACCTCTGTTTGTCCTGTGTGTTTTTGCCTCCCTCACTCTTTCCTTTTTGCTGGGCTTGCTTATCCTCAGGAGAGGACCCCCTGGCTGGGGACCAGAATGACCATGACATGGATTCCATAGCTGGTGTCCTGAAGCTTTACTTCCGGGGGCTGGAACACCCTCTCTTCCCCAAGGACATCTTTCATGACCTGATGGCCTGCGTCAGTAAGTACCATCCTAGCTTCAGATTGACTCCTGGGTCAGAGCACGTGGTAGCAAGTGATAAAAAGTTTTTACAGGGTCTGTGTGTTCTTGTAAGGTTTTCAATAAAGTTTTTCTTTTCCCCAGTGAAGTTTCTCCTCTTCCTTCTTCATCCCTTGTGGGAGAGGAGGAAGAGTGACTTTTCAGTAAGAATCTAGGACCCCCAAGTCAGGACTCCTGGCTTTTTTTTTTTTGCTTCTGATTCACCTCAGTCTTAAATACTTTTGCTTCTCTGGACTTTGTCTTCTTTTAGTAAAATACCTTTATTTTCAATTATATATTTGAAGCTTATACATTAGTGCTTGTACTTTAATGGTACAAGGGAAAAAAGCATAAGCAAGCATTGCAAATATTTCGTGCTTATTGCATTAAACAAGACATGGCTTACCTGCTAAATATATTAATATGTGTTCTAGGAACAAAAGCTCTCTGCACATTTAAAAATAGTAATAGGATATTTTCCCAAAGACAAAGATATATTCTCTACTTTTATCCTCTTAGGCGTTCTCTGCCTCTTACTCTAAAATCTGGGTCTCAAAAAGCTGTTCCCAGCCATTTGGTTTAGTTTGTGGTACTGGATCACCCTCTCATTTGTTTGCCAGGGAAAACAATTAATGGAAACTTGGATTAATACAGGTCAGCCTGGAAGCAGGCACCGTCTGATGGCTCCAGAGGCTGGAGGGAGTGGTGCCTTTGCATGGAGAAAAGATCTGTCTTCCCAGGTTGACCAGATCGTTATACCCGCTAAGTTTCCAGTTTTACTCAGTATCTGCCCTGAGTACTTGTCCCTCTCTCAGCCATCCTGAGAAATGCCCAGGGTATTAGGGAAGCTGGCTCTCTGGTTTGGTTTGTTGACCTCTGTTTGTGGGAGTCTAGTAGAAGTGAGTTACATGGGTGGTTAAGGATACGATTCCCTTGGGTCATGTCTTTGTGACTTTTTCCAGGACGGGGCCTAGGTGAAGTATCTCAAACTGAACTGGGGTTGCCAAGACAGTTCAAGATCCCTTGGCTGCCCAGGTCTTGCCTACAGATACACTCTTCCTCCTAATCCAGTACTTTGCATCTCTTTTCACATAAAGGCACTCATAGAAAATGGCAATGTTTACATGGCATACTGTGGAAGTGAGGGGCTGCCTATGATGGAAGACCTGTAATTGACATGTAGTTAACCTCTCCACAGCACAAGAAAACCTTTCAGGTCTCCTTCCCAAAATCACTACACACCCAGGAGCCTGCCACCTCTTGCATCCGGCCACTTTTTACTCATTCGTAATGCAGATAAGGGAGGTGGAAATAAGCCAGACTTGTCCAGAGGATGAGGTGACATGTGGAGTGAACAGGACAGGACTTGCACAGCCTCTCCACCCCCCTGAGATGTAGGCCCTCTGAGGCTGGGTATTGAGCAGTTGTAGCAGGTTGGTGGCAGCTCCCTATCTGTGGTTGTTTGAATAAGAGGGTGGTAGATGCTGTGAGGAACATTTCTAACCCCATTCCCTGTGCCCAAATCCAAACTTGGTATTAATAGCAAGATTACAACAACCTTGTTCAGTTTAATATTAATAATGTGTAATAACAAGTTTGGATTTGGATTTGGCACAGTCCCTTGTGCCCAAGAAGTATACACCTTACATCCTGTATTGTAAATATCTGGAGCCCAGCAAGTACCTTCTAGCAGCCCTACCCCAAGAAGCAACAGGGATGACACTCCTGTCACTGCACCAGTGCTATGTGTGGGCTTGATCTGATGCTGTCTGTGTTGCTCCTGCTGGTAGTAGAGCCTTCTGATCATTAATCCTTGGGATCCTAGTCACAGTGGAGGATAACACATGGCTTTCTTCTTTTCAGCAATGGACAACCTGCAGGAGAGAGCTCTGCACATCCGGAAAGTCCTCCTGGTCCTGCCCAAAACCACTCTGATTATCATGAGATACCTCTTTGCCTTCCTCAGTCAGTGAGTAGCCTTCCCAGTGAACAGCTGGGAAGTGGTATGGCTTGGGCTACTGGAATTTCCTCTGTGGACCTATGCCTATTCATCCATCCCAACAAAATATTTATTGAGCACCTACTGTGTGCTAGCCACAGTGCTAGACTTATTTAATACATTGTTAAATTAAAAGTGAAAGCCTTGATATCATGTAATTCCTGTTCCAGGGAAGGAAACAGACAATAACAGATATATCAGGGGGAATAAATGGTTAGAAATAAAATAAAAAAGAGTAAAGAAAGGGGAGAGAGTACAGGGGTCTGAATGAAAGGAAAGAGAACCACAGTACTTGAGGTGGACAGCATAGCCTGTCTGAGAAGGGAAAAGGAGGGAGCCATGGGGCCATTCAAAACCCCAGAGTCATGGTAATAGCGAGTTTGGATTTGGATTTGGATTTGAGAAGCAATTGGAATTTTTTTTTTTTTTTTTTAGACAGAGTCTTGCTCTGTCGCCAGGCTGGAGTGCAGTGGCACAATCTGGGCTCACTGTAACCACTGCCTCCCGAGTTCAAGTGATTCTCCTGCCTCAGACTCCCAAGTAATTGGGACCATAGGCGCATGTCACCACACCTGGCTAATTTTTGTATTTTTAGTAGAGACGGGATTTTACCATGTTAGCCAGTATGGTCTTGATCTCTTGACCTCATGATCCTCCCGCCTCAGCCTCCCAATGTGCTGGGATTACAGGTGTGAGCCACTACGCCTGGCATGTTATTATCTGATTTGCATATGTGTGTGTATTTTTTTTTTTAAAGCCAACTGCTTTTTGGATTAGTTACTGAGGAGGGTCGTGAAGAGCAACAGGGAGCCCCTATCCCGAGATTACTGTGTGGTCTGGCCAGAGGTGTTAGTGGCTTAGTCTGGAGGGTGGTAAGGAAAGGTCAGGTCTGTGATACATTTTGAATGTAGCATTAACAGGATTTGTTCATGGATTATACATAGAATATGAAGAGAGAAATCCTAAATTGTTGGCATGAGCAACAGGGAAATAGGGAGGTCATTTACGGAGTTGGAGAAGACAAGGTGTGGGGAAAGGAATCAAGACAGTGTGTCAATGTGGTCATGGTCATTTGAGGCACTCGTGGGATGTCCAAGTGGAGATTTTGAACAATTGGACCTAGAATCCAACCCTCGGAGAGAAACCGAGTGGAGATGCGGTACGGGAGCCGCCTGTGTACTGGTGGTATTTAGCTAATCACCTAGGGAATGGGGGTGGCTGCAGCAAAGGTCTGAGGAGCAGAGGGGCCACGGGCATGGATGGGGCATTTTTTCTTGTCCAAGCAGCTTGTCCTTGTGTGGAGCAAGCTTTGGGGTCCCCACATGGCAGGAAAGGCACCAAGCAAGGACGTGTGATTCTTTCCCTCTGAGGCATCTCTGTCTTTTCACTCTGCTATTGCTGCAGTTTCACCCTCAACAACCTAGACCAAAGGTTACAAATGGGCACCCTGAGAGCCAGATAAAGCCATAGAAGCCTTCCCTTCAGGCATCTGTTGTGTCTCAAAAACAATGAAATTATACTTACATTTGGGGAGATGTCACTTTTTAAAAATCTAGATTTTAGCTTCTTTTGAAAAATTGTTAGGTCTGGCAATACTGACTCTGCAGTCCCAGGTGGTAGCAATTCTCCATAGAGTAAGGGCTGCCCCCTAGATGGGGTAGGCACTCCCCAGTTCACCATAATCCCCAGCCCTCCCCATTACCCCCTAATCTGAAGGCTGAATTCAGTTGCCATTTTTCATCACCCTTGCTTTGTGGTTTTCATATAGTACAAAAATGTTTCTCTGGATCCATGAATCTATTAAGGTGCGGGAAACAAAAGATAAATCAAGTGGCCAAGGTGTTTTCACACCTATTTCTTTGTGAAAATGAAGAGCCTTCCTACAAAATTAGTCTCTGCTTAAAAGGAATACAGCGTTAGAGGCCATTTCCTAAGTGTCACCTTGCTTCCAAGTTTGTGGTCAGCCTGACCTTACAGGTATCTGGGTTAGTAGTCACAGCTTGAGACCTTTTCTGGGGTACCCACACTATAATGTAGCCCCCTTGCTGGCCCTGCAGAGCTACAGAGTGTCCTTGTTCCCAGCTTGTCTGTTCCACGTGTGTCTGCTCCATTCATTGGCCAGGCCCTGGCAAAGCACCACCACTGCCTTTGGGTTGAATACTCCAGTGACTCACACAGCATGTTGGCATGCAGCCTGGAAACTGCTAATTACTCTCATGTTAGTCCCTTCAGGGCCACCAATCATTGTCTCCCCTCAGATACCAATACCTGTCCTCAACATGAGCCTAGTCTCTGCCCCCAGAGCTAGGAGCATGACAGTGGTGAGCAAATGGGGATGAGCGGAAAACAGGGAGGGCTGGGGGACTGTGTGTGAAAGTACAATGGAGAGAAACAATAGAATACGCATCATGCAAGTTGGTGCTTGCAGAGATGGTGCAGAAATGGCAGCCACTATTGAAGAAAGCATAGGATTTGCACCAATTCAAATTATTCATTTTGTTTTATGTTTATTGGGTTTTTTTTCTGATTGAAACAAGATAGATTTGCTCATCAAAGTGTTAACATTAAAAAAAATGTAGCATTAATAATGAAAGTGTTTCCTAAAATAATAAATAGAATGCAGGACGCATATGATAAAGCAGACCGCTTCCACAGGAAGACAGCAGCTGACAGGCGCACGCTTCCGGACAGGGGTAGCAATGGTTGGCAGGTAGCTCCTGATGTAGACTCGGCCTGAGCCCAGACTGGCAGGATCCTTTTTCTTCATTGCTCGTGGGTCCTGGATGTGTGTGGACTTTATTCCTGGCTATAGTTTCTTCTTGGATTGGACATGTTCTTAATCTCAAGGAACCCAAAAAGCTAATATCTCAGTTCTGTGGGTCGGGAATCTAAGTACGGCTTAGCAGGGGCCCTCTGGAGAGGTAATTGCACATCATAAAAAAGTTCAAAATCCAGAAAAGTACATGCTAAAAAGCAAGTTTTCCACACCAATCTGGGTGCCCCCCAAAAGCCTCCGTTCTAACCACAATGCTGAACATTTTTATGAAGCACAAAAGATGATGAGTTCAAATAAGCTAGGAGAATTCACTAATAATACGAAATGAAACTATAGACATACAGTAGGACTCTTTGAGAAAATGACATGAGTGAATAAAAGGCGACACCAAAAATTTTAAAGCAGGGAGCTGTTACTAATGTTATCCATTTTAAATGTTTGGTTTTTTTGTTTTGTTTTGTTTTTTGTGTTTTTTTTTTGAAAAAGAGTTTTGCTTGTCGCCCAGGCTGGAGTATAATGGCATGATCTCGACTCACTGCAACCTCCGCCTCCCAGGTTCAAGCAATTCTCCTGCCTTGGCCTCCCAAGTACCTGGGATTACAGGCACCCCCCACCATGCCCGGCTAATTTTTTGTTATTTTTTAGTAGAGACAGGGTTTCACCATATTGGGCAAGCTGGTCTTTAACTACTGACCTCAGGTGATCTGCCTGCCTCAGCCTCCCAAAGTGCTGGGATTACAGGCGTGAGCCATTGTGCCCGGTCTAGATATTTCTTCAAAAACCAAAATCCAGTTTTTAATACTTTTATACCAGACATAGCCTTCAGGGACTTCAAAGATTATTAACACCATGATATTTTACACAAAACGGTGTGCATTTGTATGCACACATATATGAATTTTTCTGGGGAGAGAATCCCAAGTTTTTTTCAAGTTCTTGAAGGAGCTTGTGTCCCCCAAATAGTTGAGAACCACTGCTTTAGGCCAGGCCAGGAGAATCACTTGAACCCAAGAGGTGGAAGCTGCAGTGAGCCGAGATCGTGCCACTGCGCTCCAGCCTGGGTGACAGAGCAAGACTCTGTCTAAAAAAAAAAAAAAAAAAGAACCACTGCTTCAGCCCCTAAACTTAGATGTTCTCACTATACATTGGAAAAGAAAAATGGATTTTAGTCTATATTTTGATGGGAATTAGAAAAGACCTAGATTCATGAGACAACAGTCCACAAAGATCAGACCTCTTCAAGCTCCTGATCGTTGTAGCCACCTATGAATTGAGCAGTCCTTACCTTAGCAGGCTTCCCACCATTTCTCATCTTTCACAGAGCTTTGACTCAGGACCCTCAGGGCTAGAGTTGGTTTCTCTTTGACCATCAGGCTTCCCAGGCACTACTGGTTTTCCTTTATGTTACCAAAACATTGTCAGATCACTCTAAAGAATCAAGGCCTTCCTCCTCTTTGTCCCTCCATGACACCAGGAAATGGCCAGCCTTGGATTAGCTATAGCTCTGGCCTTGTGGCACCTCATGCCTCAGTTTTTCCCCTCTCAGGTTACCAAGGTAATTACGGCCCCTGCCTTTCCCAGTTTTAATTTGACTAGGAAGTAGACTTAGAAACTTCCCCCAGTCTTTTCTAAATCTCTGCTTTCTTTGAACTCAGGATCCAGGGAATGATTATGCACTTAAACCTTCAAGAACTCCTGTGAAGCAGTCCAATGAGATCTTTAACCTCCCCCATTGCTGGCCTCTCCTGCATTTGATTCTAGGCCCTAGAGAACAGTGATTCTCAACCTTTCTTCCCATCACATCCATAGTACCACTCCTCAAGTCCTGCAGTGATTCGCAAAGAGGCAGGGGATGCACATCAGAATCTCCAGGAGGGGAGAGAGTTATTGAATCAGAGGGAAATGGACTTTGTAATGTGAGACTGGCTGAGCGGTACACTGTAGAAATCAGTTCTGAAGAACAGCTACTCAGATGGAGACAGCTGAGTCTCAGACTTCTAGTTTCCCAACAGAGGACCTTTGGTTCCTTCTCAGAATCAAATCCTGCTGATGCCCGTAAGGGAGACTCCTCAGCAGAGCTCACAGCTCTGCAGGCTGTGTAGGGGAGGTATCCAGAGCTGGCCCAGCCCTTGTGCCTGGATGGGCAAGGCCCAGTGGGACTCATCAGGTGCAGTGGCTCATTAAAGGCCTTGGGTCCTTGGCCAAGGTTGGAGGTGTGGCTGGAACAGCTGCTGGCTGAGAAGGGGAGAGTTCCCAGAATAAATAAATACCCGAGAATGAAGTCAGCCTGCATCCAGAGGAAGCCCGAGCAGAAGCCAAATGGCATGCTGACCTTTTCCTAAATAAATCCTGAGCGTAATAATATAGGAGGAGATTATGAACACAAGAAACAATTGCATTTACTATTCTAGGAAGAAATTCACTGGCTTGATGGAATACAAAAGCTAATCAGTTGGCTATTTTCTAATAAGTCTAGAGGCTAGAAAGGAATATCCCTAATCATTTGATTATTTTGTTAGGCAAGAAGGTACACAATGCACAGTGCCTGTGCCTCTGACCATATCATTGCCAGGGCAGCCTAAGGGTCCCCATCTGCCCTGGCAGCTTAGTGTGTTGGTATGTAGGAGCCATATTAAGCTCTGCAGAGGGGCATGTTCTCAAGGTCATGTGGCCTTTGGTAGGTAAGATCTGGGGGTAGAGGTGAGATGGGGTGGTAAGTAGAATTTGAAATGGGAGCTGGAAAGAGAGAAGGGGTCAGAGCTGCAAGCAAGTACCTCTAGTTTGCTTTTCCTGAGCTCCTGAATGACCATGCTCATGGTCACTCTTCTTCCCAACTTACTTCTGGAAAGCCTCTGACACCCAGAAAGGCAGGTGACAATTTGTGGACCTTCTGATCTTGCTCTTGGCAGCGCCTCCTGTGATTGTGTTTTCTGGGCATTCATGCAAGGGCTTTCCAGCTTGCCCCTTTCCCTTCTCCTCCAGTTTATCACAGTTCAGTGAAGAGAACATGATGGACCCCTACAACCTCGCCATCTGCTTTGGGCCCTCGCTGATGTCAGTGCCAGAGGGTCACGACCAGGTGTCCTGCCAAGCCCACGTGAATGAGCTGATCAAAACCATCATCATCCAGCATGAGAACATCTTCCCAAGCCCCAGAGAGCTGGAGGGCCCTGTCTACAGCAGAGGAGGAAGCATGGAAGATTACTGGTAGGGGGGCTTGGGACTGGAGGAGAGGAGGGATTCACCAGCACACACTGGCATGGGGGCCAGATGGCCACACAAAAACCAAAGGGAAACACCCAGATCCTCCCAACCCCTCACTCCCAGGCTGCCAGGGTCTGGGGATGGTATAGACAGCCCCCACCTCAGCGCAACCCACAGACTAAATGCCACTTCTTGCCACCTCCCTTTTTGATGAGTTCTGAGTGGCAAGGGACTATTCTGAAAGATATTTGACAACATTAATTGTGATAGAAAGAACCTCTAGGAAAGGATTTTTTATAAAGTTGCATCTAGAAGTGATCTTTATTAACAACAGTATCTCTCGGGCTTCTACTCTGTGCTCTGTATTGTGAGAAAAACCATACTGGGTCCCAGGGAATTTCCTTCTTATTGGGAAGAGTTTAGATATGAGGTATAATTTCCTGACTGTGAGTTTGTAAGCTGGCACCTCAGAATGATTTTAGAAATTTGTGAAGAGAAAGAAGTGTAAGCCTTGTTTTTGGCAGGTTAGGGACGGTCCTCCCCTGAAGCAGCATTCAGTTCTGTGGGGCTGGTTTTCCATGACCTAGCTTTGGAAGAGAGATCCAAAAGGAATCCTTGGGATATATCTTTTTTAGACCCCTCTATTAGACAAAGAACAAATCACTATTTCCATTTTATGGATGAAGCTGCTGTAATGCAGAGAGGCCAGTGACAGTATTTTAGGCCACTCTAGTGATGGGGATTTAACCTCAATCTCTTGTCTCTTAGTGCAGGGCACCATCCGTTACCCCATGCCACCCGCCATGGTACCATTTACAGTGTCATTGTTTCACTAAACACAAAGACAACTGCCTCTGTCTTTTAATCACTAACTTCCCTTACCTCCCAATCCTCCTCCGCCTCCCTTCTTCCCCTAAATAGTGTTTCAGCCTGAGCTGAAAGCACAAGCCAGCCCAAATCAGATTCTGTCTGAATTCAACATCTGGAACCAATTCGGCCAGCCTCATTGCTATCGACTGAGGTAGGGGAGGACAGGGGAGGTTGTTTACTTAATTAGAGGCCAATTGGTCCACGCTTCTCCCTGACCCCCACAGAAGAGCCTCTTGCCCAAGGAGTGAAGAAAGTGGCATTTGTGTTCTGTGAACATAGTAATATCAGTGACATCCCTGGGTTCACTCCTCTCTGCTGTACTGCAGATTTCAGCGTCTGAGTCCAAGCTGGAGGAACCTATGCTGGCCAGCTGGGAGAGAAAGCTTTTTATCACCGACAGATGGTTGGTGGTGACTGGGGAGGCTGTTGGTCACTTTAGGTCTCAGCCTACTGGATGATGAGCTCCAGGGAGCTGTCCTTGTGCACGTGACTTAGAGCGCTGGTTTCCCCCCTTGCATGAGTGATGAAAAGCTGTAGAATAGCATTCCCTTCCTTCTAAAGTCAGGCAGAACCTCTGCCCTCACTTCTCAAATATCAAACCACTGCCAGCTCTGGCCTGGTGTCCAGGGCACAGAGACTCCTACAGCCCTGGACCCTGAGTTCCAGCCCAGTGGAGCACAGTCCTGGAGGGGTGTGGGTCACAGTCACAGACAGATGGGTGCCTTCCTCCAGTTTTCTCCAAGGTGTTCTCCCAACCTACCCACCTCTGTTTCTTGTGCGCTCGACATTTATTAGCAGCCTCTGGAAAAACCACAAGGTTAGTCAGGGAACATTCCTATCCACAGACTGGGTGGGAGGCCAGAGCTCCCGAGGAGCAAGAGTCGGCGCCCTTGGGTTGAGAGGGACCTTCCAACCACTGGATTCATACCCACCTGGAAGGCTCGTGGCCTCTCCTCTCCCTTCTTTGAGAAGTGAGAGAAGTGCCAGCCCCAGAGCTAAGGCATTGAAGGAGGTGAGCAAGGGTGGTAGAAGAGGAGTTAGAGCCCAAGAAGCCTATAGAATGGCCAGGAGACCCAAACAGCCATGGAAAGGAGAGCCCCAGGCCACATGGCATCCCACAGCTGTGGAGAGGAGAAACAAATCCATTTCACCACACTTTCCAGCTCTGAAACTGAAACTCAGTTTTCTAGAACTACCTGCAGTGTGGCATGGTGGGCTGCTTCCCAGACCTCAGGTATTGGTGGACCTGGGTGGGTGTACAAGGGCAAAGGCTGGGGATGGGGTGTGTTTCAAGAGAAGCATAAGATTTGAGGGCTAGAAGAAACCTCAGAAAGCATCTTCTTGCCTTTCTCATAAAGCAGTATTTTTCAAAGTGAGGTCCCTGGACCAATAGCCTAGAAAACAGTGAGAAATTGTGCCTGCATTTTTTGACAAAGAGGAAGCTCCATTTATATTCTTCTAGAATGTTCTCTGGAGCCTGAGAAACCTCCTTGGAACGGACTTGCTCTACATAGGGCGAGTTCTGAACCTGGTCACCCAGTGTTAGAGGAACTTCCTGGGAGTTTAGGATCCATCCCATGGGGAAAAGAGGCTGGAGGGTTCCCAGCTGGAAACTGTGTGGCCTGACTGCGCGGCTGAGTGGGTGGTGGTGCTTTCACACAACTGCCTGGAAAGCCTCACCTGTTACTTCCCACTGCCAGAGAAAAACTTTAGAAATGAACAGTTTCTCTACTTTTTAGGAAACAAGAACTTCCTGGTACCCATCCTCATAAATTCTGGAGTCCATGAGACGGGAGATCAGGAATAGAAATGACTTTTCTAGTAACCTCCCTATCCTTTCTTGATTCCCTACACTGGATGATTTTTTTTTAGATAGGGTCTGGCTCTGTCACCCAGGCCAGAGTGCAGTGGCACGATCATGGCTCACCGCAGCCTCAACTTCCCACGCTTAAGCGATCTGCCCACCTCAGCCTCCAGAGTAGCTAGAACCACATACACACTGGCTTTTTTTTTTCCGCCCTTTTTTTGTAGAGACAGGGTCTCACTAAGATGCCCAGGCAGGTCCCAAACTCCTAGGCTCAAATGATCCTCCCAAAGTGTTGGGATTATAGGCATGAGCCACTGTGCCTGACCTTTTCCATTTCATGAATTATTTCAAGAACTTGACCTAGCTTCTGTCCCCTGCCCTGTAGCCCATAGCAGATTCTTCTTCCCCTGCTTTACTTTCCCACCCACTCCTGTGACTCACCTTCCACTTTTTCACCAGTACACAGTCTAAACTGCAAAGCAACCTAGAGGCATCAAGCAAAATGAGAAAGAAGGAAAGGAAGTACTATTTATTAAGCACGCATTCTGTGCCAAACTTGTTACTAAATTACTTTATTAAATCCTCACACAACTGAGGATATAAATCATTATCTTCAGTTTATAGATGAGGCAGCTAAGGCTTAAGGAGGTTAAATAACTTGCCCAGGATCACACGGCTACCAAGTACCGGAGGTGGTTTTTGGATCCAGTCTTGTCTGATGCCGAAGGCCAGTGTTTCCTTTCCACCATGCTTCCCCCTTGAAAACCAGGTATGGCCAAGTGCGGTGGCTCACACCTGTAATCCCAGCACTTTGGGAGGCCAAGGTGGGTGGATCACAAGGTCAGGGGTTCGAGACCAGCCTGACCAGCATGGTGAAACCCTGTCTCTGCTCAAGATAAAAAAAATTAGCCAGGTGTAGTGGTGTGCACTTGTAATCCCAGCTACTCGGGAGGCTGAGGCAGGAGAATCGCTTGAACCTGGGAGGCGAAGGTTACAGTGAGCTGAGATCACACCACTGCACTCCAGCCTGGCAATAGAGTGAGACTCTATCTCGAAAAAAAAAAAAAAAAACAGGATTGAATTCACGTAGAGAATCAGCCCTTGAGGAGTTGAGTTGTTCTCTATTTGCTGAAGAATTTACTTTATACCTTCAAAAGGGCTTCCCTTTGTCTCGGGGTACTCTAAGATCCAAGTAGTCTCAAGTGATTTCGGTAGTAGGAGATAGACTGGAGAAACTCAGAGCTTTGTATTTCATTATAAGCATTTGTCCATTGTGTGCAGTTAGGATATAGAGAACATAAGATGGAGTCAGTGCCCTCGCTCCAGGGAGGTTGTATGAAGGGGACGATGAGAATTTTATAAGCAAATATTCATGTTCCAGTCACCCTTGCTTCTGTTGCAGTGATAGCCCTCATGGAGAGACTACCTCGGTTGATGACTCAACCCAGGATGTGACTGCAGAGCACCACACGAGCGATGACGGTATGAGGCCCTGCTTCCTGGTCAGTGGGGACGCCAGGGGGAAGGCAGAAGGAAAGTGATGATATATCCTGTGCATCTGATGAAACTGTCTGTCCAGTAGTCCCCTGAGGACAGGCAGGAAGCTCCCCTGTCTCAATTTCATTCCCTTCCTTCCTTGGAGAGGTAGCCCACCTTCTCAAATAGAATGGTCTCTGTATTAAACCAGAGGTGAAGAACTAGGCCTTCCATAGCCCTTCAACCTTCTTGCCCCATCTCTCAGCTCCTTGTCTGGCCTGAATGATGCTGGTCCCTTATCATAGTCTAGACTCCTGCCAGGCAACTGGAGAAGAAAGTGAAGGAAAGTTCATTTGAAAAACAGCAATTGGGTGTCGTGGCTCACACCTGTAATCCCAACACTGGGAGGCCCAGGTGGGAGGATGACTGAGTTCAAGAGTTCAAGACCAGCCTGGGCAACATGGCCAGACACTGTCTCAAAAAAAAAAGAAAAAACCCAGCCTGGCATAGTGGTGTGCACGCCTGTAGTATCAGCTACTCGGGAGGCTGAGGTAGGAATATCCCTTAAGCCCAGGAGTTCAAGGCTGCAATGAGCTATGATTGTGCTACAGCACTCCAACCTAGGTGAGAGAGTGAGATCCTGTCTCAAAAACAAAACAGAACAAACAACAACAAAAAAACCAGTCTTGGTTGGGAAATAGCAGAGCTGGGTGCCCAGAACCCAACAGAAGCAAGCCAGAGGGAGAGAGAAGGAGGATGCAGAAACCACATGCTTTCACGCCTGCTGACTGGAAAAACTGACCCTTTCCAAAGTACAGACATGCGAGTGCTGAGCAGGCTGCTGGGCGTGCATCAAGGGGAGGAATGCTCAGCTGTCATCCTCAGGCCCCTCAGCAGTGCCCGTGCTTTATGAGGGTCTGTTCAGCCAGCACATTTCCCCCCTTCCAACAGCTCCACACCTCCTTTTCTGGATCAACTGGGCTCTGGAAGTCTCAGTAGCTGACAAGGGGCCTCAGAATTTTCTGGGCACAAGAATGAAATGCCACGGTCTGCGGAGCTTTCCCTGTTCCCTGCCTTGCCGAGAATTCTGCAATTCTAGCCAGCTTTTAAAGGAGAAAAAAAAAATTAGGACTGCTTATTTAGATCCTGATGTCATAAGGATCCATATAATCATTTGCTACATTTGAGGAGGGGAGTAGGTGAACTAGGGAAATGAGTAGTGGGTTAGAGCCTATCTTGCGGCCAGTTCTGTTAGAGGTTTTCTATATATTATCTCTTAATCCCCAGTGAAAGAGATATGGCCGCTATTTTACACTTGAGAAAATGGAGGTCAGAGAGGTCGAGTAACGTACCCGAGGCTGTAGAGAATTGAGCTGGGTATATTTAGACAGGCCTTCTCTGACCAGCCTCCTCTCATGAAATCTCCAACCCCTCCTGTTCGGGAGCAGACCCACCAGCTAGGGCCGTCTAGATATGGTTTTATTTTTAAGCAGCCTTTCTCTCTGCTACCCAGAATAGCTGACTTTCATCTCAGGATCCAGCTTTCTGGGAGCCTTCTTTTTGCTCTTTGATCTCTACCTGCAGCCTAGCACAGATGAAGATAATGACAACAATAACTCGTGCACACATGTCACTCACTATGGGCCGGACACTGTTGTAAGCACTTTTACAAATTGTAATTCATTGACTCTTCATAACAACTTCATGAGAATGACACTAGTATTATTTCCATGTTACAGATGAGGAAACAGAAGCCCATACAAAAATAAAGATACATTGCATCTGTAAACCCTTCTTACTTTTTCAGATGACTTTCATGTGCATTTTTTCATAGGTTGGTCACAAAATATATTTTCTTATTTTGCTCCTTGGAAAGTTGATTGCACAAGTTATTTTCTCTTTATAGAGATGAAATGCTCATATTCTACGTACTAGGGGGAATGGATAACAATTTAGAATATAGTATGATATGTTCTCTATGATTATTAGAATCAGAAAAGAATGCTTAAAAATATAGTATGGCAAGTTTGATGATAGACATCAAAACATGAAGAGCTTTGGAAACACCAAAGAAGTTACTGTAGAAAACGGGATGCTTGAGCTGTGTCTTGATGTGTTTCACCAGGCAGATAAGAGAGAAGGGGATTCCAGGCGGAGGGAACAGTGTGAGCAAAAACAGGTGAAAGGTGATACCAGTGCTTTCAAGATAATGGCACAGTCTACATGTGAATTACGTGTTTTGTAGATTATCCATGACTTCGTTTTCCCACTAAGTTATCTTCCCACCACTATAGGTTCAGCTAATTCAGCTTTTCCACCCAGTTTCCTGAGTCTGCAGGTCCCAAGAACATGTGTTTACTTCTTTTCCACCCTTCTCAGAATGTGAGCCCATCGAGGCCATTGCCAAATTTGACTACGTGGGCCGGACAGCCCGAGAGCTGTCCTTTAAGAAGGGAGCATCCCTGCTGCTTTACCAGCGGGCCTCTGACGACTGGTGGGAAGGCCGACACAATGGCATCGACGGACTCATCCCCCATCAGTACATCGTGGTCCAAGACACGTACGTTGGGCCCCTGGCACCCCTGGGGGTAGTCCCCAACTACTCTGTGGGAATGAGACTTCATTTCTGGAGCCATAGGACTGTGAGAGAGACCAGCCCCTGGGGGGTGCCAGTGCAGTCCTGAGGCTCACACAGTTCCTTGAAGAAGCCTCCCTCTCCACTCCCTGCACTCAGTGGAGAATTTTTTAAAATCTCTCCACTACCTGTGCCCTCTGCAAATCACTCCCTGATCCAGTCATTTTAGAAACCTGCCAGTCAGCCAGCACTCATCCACATTTATACCTGATGAGTGATAACAAGGGGTTTTTATTTGACCACCTATATTTCTTTTCTTGAAACATCAGGCTGGGAAAACATTTTTGCTTCTCCCCTTTTTTTTAAACAACTGTGCCCACCCCAACCTGCTGAGTCACTCTTCCACTTGCAAATTAAAATGACTAGTTTTCTAGGAGAAATCTGGCTTATGCAGCCTTATGGAAGTGACCTAGTTCATTCAACCCAGATGAGGTTGATTTGGGGTGAGATGGGGGAAGGAGGGAAAAGGATGTCACGGAACAAAGGAAACCTGAACTGGTCCCAGAGAGATCTCATCTGATAGGCTTTTGGTTGATTCCCACACTTTGAAGCAGTTGTCCCGTGGGCCCACCCAAGCCTGCCCCCTGTCCCTTTGCCCTGCCTCTGGATCCGATGCTGTCAGTGTTTTTAGTCCTTCCCTTAATATTATTTTTTAAAGGTTGATATCCTGAGTGAGTCTGCACCCTCCCAGCCTCTTCCCGGCTCGTTCTGCAGGGAAATTCTCCCTCTGTTGATAGCATCGAAAACCTGGTGGCAATCTGTGCGTGGACAGGACCCTCCCAAATTTAGCATTATGACTTCACTACAGGATCAAGAGAAGATGAATTGTGGGGGAGAAGGGGCTTTCTTTGTCATCAGTAGCCAGAGGGGCCAGGAGAGCAGTGGAGAGACCTGGGACCGGCTTGGATGCTCTGAGCAGGGCTAGAGGCGCTACGACAGTGTGTGGCGGTGTCCTGCCTCCACGCCGCCATCTCCAGAGCCACCACACAGTTGACTGTGCAGGACCTCAGCCGATAAACCACAACCTGGACTTGGCGCCTCCTTCTCCAGGAGGCCGCCCCAGCATGGCCTCCCCGGGAAGCAGCATGGGGTAGAAGGCAGATGCCTCGAACCCAGGTGTCCCCTAGCCACGTTTTCCTGAGGAGCTGAGGAGCCTGCAGAACTCAGCAGATTATTTATTTTTATTTAAACGACCCTTCAAAGGCCCTTAGGTTTCCTTGCCTCTGCTCACAGAGCTAGTCCAGCCAGGTGTCGCTGCTGCCTCAGAGCTGTGTAGGGTCGCGTGTGTGTCGGGGGGCCATCTTGCCGATTTAACGCTGCTTTTCGTGTTGTTGTTGTTTTCCCTCCTCCCTGCCTGCCTGCCCCTTCTCCCCCAGCGAGGACGGTGTCGTGGAGAGGTCCAGCCCCAAGTCTGAGATTGAGGTCATTTCTGAGCCACCTGAAGAAAAGGTGACAGCCAGAGCGGGGGCCAGCTGTCCCAGTGGGGGTCATGTAGCCGATATTTATCTTGCAAACATCAACAAGTAAGCTCTGCTTTTCATTTTCTGCTCCCCTGAATGACTTGCAACACCCAGCCTCACCCTCTGGCCTAACCCCCGTCTCCATTCCTGTGCTGCACGTAGGGCGCCCGGCTCCCCAAGCCTAACAGTTTGCACGTGGTCATTGCTGCTGCAAGGCGGACGGGGCTGAGGACGCTGCTACAGGCCTCGGGGCAGGTCCAGGTCTCCAGCTAGCTGCCCTCATGCTGTGGAAGAGTGCTTTACTGTGTGTTCCCGCAGTGTCTGTCCACCCAGACCTTTGTGGCAGTCTTACAGCGAAAACTTGGGCCAAAGCTTTGGTCACTTTATGCAACCTGGTTTTGTACTGTTTCTCAGGGGTGCCTTCTTTTTTCCAATCCATACTCAAATAATGGTCTTTGATGTCTGTCTTCCTTTACCTGTGTTCGTGCAAAGATTCAAAGTCTGTGTGTGGCTTCTCCTAGGCTGATGTTACCCCAGGTGGGTTTATTGAGATATCATGTGTCTGTTCCTCCCGCTGTCCTGCATTCACTCCCGTGGAGGAAAGGAGGCCACAATGTCCCTAAGGAAAGCTTTGTCCTGAGCTCTTCATTCATCGCCTAACCCCTAGCTCCCTTTTCTTCTGCCCTTTCACACCAGGAGAAATAATTTTCCATTTTGTTCCTATTGCTTTGGCCCTGTGTATTATTTTACCCCCTTAGGCCCTTTGCAGGTCCCCACTCCTGCTTAGCAGGCTCTTACCTCTGACCCCCAGCTTTCATTGTGGCTGTTAGCAACATCCTGGGGTTTTAACTCCACCCACGCCTGATCTGGCTGTCTAGAGGGATTCTACGCCTGCGTGCTGCCGCCTCCCCAAGAGGCATTCAGGTTATTGGAGAACTAATCTCATCTCAAGGGGCCAGACACCAAGTCCCAAAGCCTACAGACCTCTTTCTGCCAGACCCTGAAACCTGGCCCCATGCCAGCAGGATGACAAGCCCCAGGGCGCTCCTGATGAATATGGATTGGAGATGATGTACAGTTTTTATTCCCCTCTGGCTTTGGAGGAATGAAATGATTTGCACTTTGAAAACCTGTTAACCGTAGCCTCTGGACACTGAGACTGGAAGGAGAATAAAGGATGCTTGTTGTTTTTAAACTATACCAGGTTTCCCAGATCTCTTGGCTTTTTTCCACCCAGATGGTAGCAGGGGGAGTGGTTGGGGCACGTGGCTCTTTTCCATCTCTTTCACCCTCAAGTTAGTAAAGTCATTTTTTCAGATCACTTACCCAATGTAGTTATAATTTAATTCAGACCAGTTTTTTTAAAAATTGAGGCATTTCTGTTTCCCTCCAGCACACTACCCTGCTGGGAGGGCAAGCCAATACCAAATAACTGTGGGCTAATCACATTTTTTCCCTTATTTACAAGTATATGTTAATTATAACCCTACAATCTAAAGGTTATAAGCCTATAATTAACCCGGAAACGCAGGCAGGGTTGGTGGAGGAAGAGTTAGATAATTAGTTAAGTACATATTTTTAAGCCATCATGTATGTGATGCCATTTGTGCCTAGAAATTGTAGAGTAATAGCTGAAATGGTTAAAAAAAAAAAAAAGTTCAGGTGGTTCCCTTGAAGTCCCTGCTTGCTGGTGTCAGGAGTCTTGTGATGGGCTCTTGAGGGACAAGCTTCATCACCTGGTTGGTGGATGAGCGGCAGCCCCTGGTCATGTCTGTCCCATAGGAATGAGTCAGCCCCCCACACCACTCCTCCTCCCAAGCTCCTTCAGTTTCCTGAGTGCCCAGGTTCTCTCACCACTAGGCCCTCACACCTGCTGTCTCTCTCACCTGGTCACCTCCTCCTCTCCCTTCAAGACCCAGTCCAAAGACTACCTCTTTGGGGAAGCCCTTCTAACATCCCTGAGTTCCCCAGGCTGAGTGAGGTGCCCTTATGCTATATTCCCAAGGCACTTTGCATACCTCTTGGTACTCACACTGCACTCGGTTCCCTCACCAGATGGAGGTCCTTGAACCCAGGAACTATGTCTTCCTTGTCTTCACATCCCCAGAGCCTGGCCTGGGACATGGCACACCACAGCTACCCCATCAGTCTGCCTTCTCAGCAGTTTCAGCCTGTGAGTCAGCCAACCTCAAGCGGAAAAAGGAAATCAGCAAAGAGCTATATGGGTGTGGCATTTCCATTTAATTCTATACATTTAAGTATCTACTGTTGTGACAAGCACTGCTGATGGTTATTCAGAGATGAAACAAAAATGGGGTCCCTGATCTCAGAGCTCACAGCCTGGCAAGGTAAAGACCCTATAGACAGGTAACTGAAAGGTAGCGTCAGATGCTCTGAAGGCACAGAGGAGGGAGGGGTCCATTGTTCCTGCACAGTGGTGTAGTGGTGCCAGGGAAATCCTTGCGGGGTGGGGGATCATTTCAGCAAGGCCTTAGAAGACTCTCAGAACATTCTTTTTCCACTTGAGAAGGCTGGCTCACTAGCCTAAAACTGCCAAATGGACAGATTCATGGAGTGACTGATACATGCAAGGTCCTGGGACAGGTCCTGCAGGCAGAAAGATGAAGAAGACCTCAGCAGTGAACAGGACCAAGACTGGCTTAGAGCACTGTCCCCACTTCATAGACCAGCTCCTTATCTTCAGAGTCTGACCCCTTCCCTCCTTCTACCTCAACTCCTGCCTCAGTCCCCATCTCCCTTAGATTCAAGATCAGAGTTGTTCAGTGGCCATGTGAATCAGAATTTTCATTGCCTTTTAGATGAGATCTTTTCAAAGCTGATTCCAAGAGAAAATGAAATTACCCAGCAGCAGGCAACACCCATGTAACTGGAATTCTGCCAAGCCATTTTGTATGAGAGCCCTAAGTGGTCTGAAACAAATTCACCCAGATGCAGGGTTCAGCCCAGTGCTCGGTGACTCGGGAGTCATGTAGAGGTATTTCCGCACTAAGAAAATGCACAAACTGGGCCCTAACTCTGCAGCATTGCTGCCTCTTGAAAGCTATTCTGTTCCATGCCTGCAGAATAAGCAGCAACAGCCTCTTGCCAGAGCCCAAAATAGTTCCAGTCTTGTTGGAAGAAGAGACATGCTTTAATTTAGAAAACTTAACTGTCCTCTTAACAGCAATTCCCAACCTCCTTGGTGATGGTGAGACTTCTTCTCCTACCTGGGGCCTTAGGTTTCTGTGCATGGCAGGTCACAGAAGGCCTTTCCACGAATCTCTTTACCATTAGAAACTTTCATTTAATCAGACATTTTTTTCTGACAGCAACTTACATCTTGACAACACAAAGCCTGTGACCACCAAGTAAGTATCCATTTCTCCTTTGCCCAGCTTGGGGGTGGCAAGGGAATGAAGACGTGGAGAATGCGAGAGAAGATGAAGCCGAGGAAAGAACGTGTTCTGTGTCCCTCTCCTTCCAGAAGTCCCTGGGTGCCAACATCTGCCCCCTCCCACTTGTCCTAGCTTCCTTGGCGCCAGGGCTCCCTGATCACACTGCCCTTTCTGTTTGTGATTGAAGGCAAAGGAAGCGTCCAGAATCTGGGAGCATCCGGAAAACTTTTCGGAGTGACAGCCATGGGCTGAGCAGTTCCCTGACTGACTCCTCCTCCCCAGGGGTGGGGGCTAGCTGCCGCCCATCCTCCCAGCCCATCATGAGCCAGAGTCTCCCCAAGGAAGGGTCAGATAAGTGTTCCATCAGTGGGCATGGGAGCCTCAACTCCATCAGTCGCCACTCATCCCTGAAGAATCGGCTGGACAGTCCACAGATCCGGAAGACTGCCACAGCAGGAAGGTCAAAAAGCTTCAATAACCATCGGCCCATGGACCCTGAGGTCATTGCTCAGGTAACTGTGGGCCCCTGGACAGACAGCATGAGTCTACACTCGTCACCACCACTTAGTGCCACTCACCTAATTATGACAGGACTTGAAGCAGAACGATTGTTTTGTACATCATGTACTGAGTACATGTCCATTCTGGACATGTGGACCTGATAAGGCAGCTTAGTAAGCAGTCTGCCTGTCCCTCTCTCCCCGGGAAGAACCTAAAGACAGAATAAAAGAAACCTAGCTTCTTGCTGATACACTGGCTATTTGGAAGGCTGTTGTAATTTTTGAAGCCAGTATTAAGAGTATTTTGATAGCCCAAGTTTTGGGTCTCAAGACCCTGTTAGACTTTAGTGAAACTGTCTGACTGTTGAGGCTCAGATGTAATCCTGGCTACATTTTCATATTTCTGTGCCCATCAGCATCATCTCAATTCCTAAGGCTAGTCTCTGGTACTGAGTGGGCAGATGATCAATTAACAACCTGCATCTGGTCTTGAAGACTTAAAAAAATACGCTGGCCGCAGAGAGCTCGGGTACCAAAAGGATTTGTAACCCAAGCCTCCAGAGGCAGTGGAGATGGGCTCCCTGGTTGCAGGGTCTTCCTTCTGTGTATGCACCACACTGATGCCTCTCTGTTTTCCATGAAATATTAGAGATCCAACCCCACCTCTAAAAATCCGACTACCGGGGCCACTCCAAGCAGTTCATTCAGACGTCTCTCCCAACTATATACTTTTCATTAGACCAGGTAGGAACTAAGGGCTCCTTTTTGCTCCCTTGTCTCAACTAAGTTGAGATTCTCCTTACCCCCATCTTCCAGGGGGTGATAGAGGCTGGGTATGGTCTCTATTGGCTTAATTGTGGCTCTCTGCTTAAGGAGGTGTACCTGGCAAGCCCCGTATTGAGCTACAGGCCTGAGTTGTCTTGCTTTGCTAGCCTTCTATTCTGTGCTTCTACGTAAGTTCTTGGCTGCAATCTGGCTTGCACTACTGGAATCCTCCCAGCTCCCTCCTTGGCCCGGTGTTAATAGGAATGTCAGGAAAGGCAGACAGCTGGGACAGACTAGCTGCAGAGTGCAACTGAGGAGAGAGATGGAGTTCTTCCTGGCATTTTAAAGGTTTGAGAATGTCATAGGGATGAGTGAAATTGAAAGCATGCATCGCTCTGTAGGACAAAGAAACCTTAACCAGAGGACTTTGCTTGGAATATGTAAAATCTTTCAATGCGAGTCTAATTTTAAGAAGTACTGGGTAGTTTGGGGTGCCAGACACAGGTTTATGGGGAGATAGTGGGGAGCTGGGAAGTCTCACTGGGTGGCAGCTGGCTTGCATACAAAGGTTCTTTGGTTCTGCCTTGAGTCCCTGGGCTAGGACTGCTCTTGGCTAAGATCTAGAGTGTTCCATTGATTTGCAGGCGATTGATTCACCTAGGTGGGCTTTGGCTCCCCCTCCTGGTCACTCTTTGGTCCACTCGGTGGTGATGGCTGGAAGGATATAGTTTCAATTTGGACGCTGCCCAAAGATGGGGAGGAGGGGCTGGGGGAGGGGTCCTGGGCTCCTGAAACTTTCCTCGGCCCCTGAGGAGGAAGGACTAACCCTCTTAACTTTTGGCCTTGAAGTCCAAGGGAATAAAGACCATACACCATCTCTATCACTTTTTAAAAAAGTGTTTCTTGTGTATAACTTCAAACCTGCCCAAAAGCAGAGAGAACTGGGTAACAAATCCCCGCGACCAAACTCCTGGCCACTCTTGCTTCATCCACATTTCTCCTCCCCGTTAGATTATATGTCACTTCATCAATAAGTATTTCAATATCTCTCTCTAAAACCTAGGGTTTCTAAAAAAATAAAAAATAAAAAATAAAAAAAAAAAAACTCAACTACTTTTTCTAAAAGAAACAGAAAAAATCTCATGACAATGAAAATCCCTCTGTCCCCCGCTCTCCCCACTTTCTAAGCATTTATATGTTAGAGGATTTGGGCCAAGTACAATAATCTGGACATCTTCTTATTGTCGGTTTCTTCATGCCTTGGCCTGTGTTGTTGAAACTGTCTCCTTGGGGACATCACCCTTCATTTGCCTCACCTCCTCCTTTTTCCTGTTTTGCAGGATATTGAGGCAACAATGAACTCGGCCCTGAACGAGCTACGGGAGCTAGAGCGGCAGAGTAGCGTCAAGCACACCCCTGATGTGGTTCTGGACACCTTGGAGCCCCTCAAAACCTCCCCAGTGGTGGCCCCCACGTCGGAGCCCTCCAGCCCCCTGCATACCCAGCTCCTCAAGGACCCCGAGCCCGCCTTCCAGCGTAGTGCCAGTACTGCTGGGGACATCGCCTGCGCCTTCCGGCCTGTCAAGTCTGTCAAGATGGCTGCCCCAGTGAAACCACCAGCCACACGGCCCAAGCCCGCTGTCTTCCCCAAAACAAATGCCACTAGCCCTGGTGTCAACTCATCAACTTCTCCACAGTCCACTGACAAGTCTTGTACTGTCTGAGGGATATAATTTAATTGTTGTAGACAAGGGGACTATAGGGACTGACTGTTATTAAAATCCTATTTAACTAGCTTGGGGACTTCAGTTGAAAATTAGGTTCTAAGTTGTTCTTGCAGGAATTAGCCTCCCCGTCTCCCAAAACCTTGAGAATGAAGCCCTTGATAACGCCTCTCCCTTCCCACTGCCCTCTGCTTCCTCCAGTTGTTGTAATTCGGCCAGCTGCAGTCCATACCGTTCTTAGGTTTAGCCAGAGACAAGTTTTCATTATCAGGTCACTGTGAAATCTGGTAAGGCAGTCCTGAGGACGTGGGCTCAAGTCTCAGTTCCCTCAGACCATGCGGCTGCCTTGACCAGATGGTTGGCTACTGCCATCCAGCTTTCAGTGACGTCTTGTTTTGGGTACTGACTATAGAGAATCATATATAGTCCAGTCTTCATTTTACACACACACACACAATTATAGAGAATCATATATAGTCCAGACTTCATCTTCATTTTACACACACACACACACACACACACACACACACACACACACACAATTATAGAGAATCATATATAGTCCAGACTTCATCTTCATTTTACACACACACACACACACACACACACACGTTTTTCTAGTCTTTGGCTTATGTAGCCCCTCCTGGTCATAGACCAGTCTTTGTAAGTTATTGTGGCAGTTCACACAGCAGCCACCAGAGGTCTCTGTTTCCATTACAAACTTTGTTCTGTCTGGGCCAGAGAACCTAGCCTTTGAAATCTCTCCATCATATGAAATATTGAGGGATGGGACAATCCCGTAACCTCTTTGGGGTGGGGGACTTTCTCTCTGTGTTCTTTCCATTGATGTGAATTGGTCATTGGTGTTTGCTCTTGCTCTCCTCCATCCTCTAGAAGTACACCCCAGTCTTATTAAGAAGCTTTTAAAGTTTTTCTGAATGTATAGACATTTCTCGGGTTCCTTCCTTTGTCTCTGATGGACCATTTTCCATTTAAGACATTTTCCTGTATAAGACAGTTTTATAGCTGGTTCCTTTAAGGGTAAAGAGTCTTAACAGAGTTTTATTGTGTCTGTGGCAGGTTTGGAAAAGGTAAGAAATGGGTCCTTTTTCCTCCTAATGTTTTTGACACGTAAAACATAAAATTCATTATCCTATTAAAAAAATTAAATTCAGCTTTGCTAGCCCAAAAATTGTTCCCAAATGGAAACTTGTTTTAAGTCCACCCTTAGTTTGGTTATTTTACAAGGTCTCTCTTCAGGGACCAACAGGGGCTTAGAGAGCCTTAGTTAGACTAAGGGGAGATGCTGCCTCTTAGGACCAGTTTTCATTTATCCAAACAAGGACAACTAAGGGAGCTGTGGCCCCGCAGGCTTTCCAGTCTTCCTGAGGCCGGAATCTAAAGAAAATGAAAATTTGAACACTGAATATTTTAACTCTACTCTGGCCTTTTTTCTGGTTCCCTTCCAAAATGCACAAATGATATCCTTGTCTGCTCCAATCCAGTCTCCAAACCTGGTGCCCTTGGTCCTGGCCCCCCTAGCATCATGTTACCCCACGAGTGCCGGGACCAGGGGTATCCACAGCCAGGCTCATGGGCCTCAGAACGCAACTCGAGTTAAAGCTGAAACTCATCCTTCTGTATGTTTTCTGGTTTAAAAACTGCACTTATATTTTAGCCTTATTGTTTTCTGTAGTTCAGGAAAGATGGTGGGTTGCCATTCAGGTAGAAAAATCTGAGTTTTCTTATCTTTGACCTAGAGGAGATTCTTTTTGGACCAACATGTGAAACTGGTAGTTGGATCTATGGAAAGTGTAGTATTTTTTTTTTTAGCCTGTGCAAAGGAAAAGAGCTTTGTGGGAAATTACTCATGAGAAGGCTAACCTGCAGCACCAGAGGAACCTTTCCAAGTCCTAGAAGGGAGAACTGAAAAACCCCATCAGTAAAGTGAGTCAGCCTAGAAGAGGCAACCCACAGTCTTTTGGATTCTCGGGTTTTGTTGCTCTGTTTCCTGATCCGTTCTTGTCTGTCACCTGGGCCTACACAGGTTCTGAGCCAACAGGGGGCTTTCATACCCAAGGATCTGTTTCCTTGCTGAAAATGGAACCCCATCTTTCACTTTACATTCCTTTCAGTCCAACTGATCAAAACTGGTACCCACACTTGCTCTTTCTTCCTCTCTCCAGCACACTCCCCTCTAAGAAAGTCAAAGCAAACCTTTCTTAATGACAATGCTTTGGGCCTGTGGTGTTGCTCCTGCCTTATTTCTCTTTTAACCCTTACATGACTCGTATTCACCATCCCCTGATCAGTGTCCATCCGCGCTAATTTGCATCATGAACTGAACAGTGTGTAAGTGGTCACCTACTAAACCCAACTCTGGGGGCAGAGCTGTCTTCCCCATCTCTGGTGCTCCCGACACCTGTGAGATGGTCCTGTCCAGAGGACTAGGAACCGATAGGAGGAGAGTCCTTCTCGGCAGAGCTCACTGCGAACAACTGGAATTGAGGTTGCACACTGTGATTTTTACACCGAAAAGCCAAAAGGAGCTGGCCACCCAGGGCCTAGGGAGACCAGCCTTCCTCAGCTATGCTTGCTGAAACCAGCATGATGCTTCAAAGAGCCCTGCTCCGCCCCTCGTGGCATGGATCCTTTTCCTGGCGTGGACTCTGAAGGGGTCAGTCTTTGGGGAAGAGAGGTGGGGTGGGGCTACCAGCATCCCCATTTAGAAAATAGAGGAGTTTGTAGCCAGCAGCCTGTAAACTGGAAACACTGGTCTCAGCCAACCTCCTCAGGGCGCCCTGGCTTCTCCCCAAGGAGATGAGCAGCGGTGATGCCAGCACTGGGATGCACAGAGCGCTGGAAGGGCTGGTGCAGACCTACTTCCCATGCGGAAGAGAAGTCAGATCTTCCAGGGAACCGCAATGTTGTGGCGTCTGACTTGTATGTCACATTTGTGTAAAATGGTATATTCTTTAAAATAGTGTTGATAACTGGAATATTGTATGTATGCTTGGAGATGCTTTGTGTGAACCTAAGACTGTCACTCAACAGATGTTGGATTGAGGAAAATCCAAAGCACAACTTCAAAATAAAATACATTTTTAGGTTTCAATGCTGCAGTTCGTATCACTTCTCTCCTCTCTAAAATCCCTGATTCAGGACTCCAGCTGCCCAGGAGGGATTTTGATTCGTCTGTGCCGACAGAGCCCTACCTGGCAACAGAGACAGCAATGAGATGGTCTTACAGCCAGCCGCCTTCTCCCTCCCCACCGAGGCACAGCACTCTTGCATTTAGAATGGGAAGTTTTTCCCCAGCGTTTCTATTTAGCCTATGTGCGGATTCTCATAGGTTTTGTGGAGAGCCTTCCAGCTCACTGTTGAATCGCCTGTTGCCATGAGAACCATTTCCTTCACAGAATCCACCTTCCTTGTTTTCAATAAGGACTGTTCTCGCTTCTATCTCTAGCCAGATTTCCCCACTTCAGGGAGTGGGGCCTAAGAAGTTGCTTAGAAACTTTGCAAGCTGCAACCGAGGATGGCCAGAGGCTCTCTTTCTTCCACAACCAAAGCCCCGAGTCATTCTGTCCTTGGCAGCCCCCTGCCTCTGGGAAAAGCTGACCAATATGCTTGTGCTGTTGGTGGGAGTAGGGGACACAGGTGATGTTTTTCTTCTACAGATTGTGAGTCTAGCAGACCTTAAGTTCAAGGGTGAAGTTATTCAAAGGTAACAACTTCAAACAAATCCTAACGCTCCTAGGGCCCACACTTACTTGTAACAGGCTGTTCTAATACCAGATGCCCCTGGGGATGGATCAACCTCTCCAAGTGGGTACCCTGTGTTCAGTGGTAATGCAAGGAATCCTACCCCCAGCTCTAGACAGGACACTTCATAGCCCCTTATTAGGTCTATCACCCTCATCTGTTACTAGTAAATCTTACTCAGCTCTGCCATGTCCTTTCAACCTACTGTCTCTTCCCTTCCCCTGTTTTCAAGGAAAAGCTACACCTTGAGCTTCTCTTGCTGGGCCCTTTGCTTCAGGTAAGTCAAGGCCAAGGCTGCTGTGCTGCCCTGCGGTAGGAATGAGTTCTCACTCCCTGAGTGCAGGGAGAATGGGGATGGCCAGGAGCACCCCATAATAACTGTGACATGGAGCCAGTTCGTAGGCCGTGAGCATGGGACCAAAGAGCCCCTTCTCAGAGGGTCCTGAGGCAAAGGCAGGCTATGCTTTTTAGGTCTTCTTTATCCATATGTGGCCCTCTTTATCTCACATGTCCTGTGGGGGCTGGATGGAAACTAGCGGCAATGACACTGTCAAAACACAAGCCCATTCCATCCAGATAGAAACCAAAAATGGAGACCAGATGTATGTGAATTTAGGAAACAGTCTTTTAAGGTTATCTAATCTAAATGTTTATATCAAACTTGTCCAACATGTGGCCCAACACAAATTCAGAAACTCTTAAAACATGAGATTTTTTTTTTTTGCAATTTTTTTCTTTTAGTTCATCAGCTATCATTAATGTTAGTGTATTTTATGTGTGGCCCAAGACAGTTCTTCCAGTGTGGCTCAGAGAAGCCAAAAGACTGGAAAGCCCTGGTTTAAATTTATAGGTATATGATGTTTCCTTTTACTCGAGTTAGCAACCTTGGTATATTAGATATACCAAAGATACTCGTTTAGTCAATCAGCAAACAGTAAGCCTCTTTCTGTGCAACCACTGACATATAGTGTTGAACAGAAATAAACAGGTAATGGAGCTTTCTAATCAGGTAGGACGTAAAGCAAAATAAGTATCACTCTGAAAATGAAACTGTAATAGGAGTTGTTCAGGAAATGAAGAATTCTGCTTGATCTGGCAAGGCTTAAATGATTAGTAGACATCTAAGTGGAAATATCAGGTAGACCCTTGGATGTATGAATCTGGAGTTTTGAGGAGAGATAATACCTAAAAACGTATTAGGAGGTTTTTAGGTATTATCTCTAAAATTATGGATTTATTCAAACCTAGATTCCTGGGAAGAGCATGGAGATCAAAAAAAGAGAAGGTCCTAATCATTAGAAATGCAGCAGAGGGGCCGGGCATGGTGGCTCATGCCAGTAATCCCAGCACTTTGGGAGGCCAAGGCAGGCTGATCATCTGAGGTCAGGAGTTCGAGACCAGCCTGACCAACATGGAGAAACCCCATCTCTACTAAAAATACAAAAACATTAGCCAGGTGTGGTGGTGGGTGCCTGTAATCTCAGCTACTTAAGAGGCTGAGGCAGGAGAATTGCTTGAACCTGGGAGACTGAGGTTGCAGTGAGCTGAGATCGTGCCATTGCACTCCAGCCTGGGCAACAAGAGCAAAACTCAATCTCAAGAAAGAAAAGAAAATGCAGCAGAGGAAGGAGGCCAGTGAAGAAGGCGGAATGAGCAAGTAGCAATGAGGTAGGTAGTTGGGAGAGCACAGGGTCACAGAGAGCAGGAGATGGCAATGCTTCAACAAAGCGGGGAATCTCCTGTTGAATGCCAGTGGGGTAAGGAGAGGCTGGCGTAGAAAGGGAATCCTTGGTGATCTGGACAAGAGTATTTTCAGTGGAGGGGGAATGAGTCCAACTGGAGTAGGTTAGGCGGCAAATGGGAAGGTAAGAGGCAGTAACTCGACAGCTCATTGAATGGGGAGCATGGAGAGACAAGGGTAATACGGACAGCACAGAGGCGCATTTGCTCGGTGGGGTGGGCAGAATGCAGTAGAACAGGAAGAATGAACATGCAGGAGAGGAGAGAGGGAGCTACAGGGCACAAGCAGGAGGGTCACCATGGCCACTAGAAGAGGCTCGAGAAGAGGCACTTCCTGCTGTCACATGGGAGGGAAGGCCGGTGAGTGCAGACACAGAGCAGGCAGTGGATGTGGGAGAGGAAATGAGGGAACTCCCTTCTGATTGCTTCTTTTATCTCAGCGAGGTTTAAGACAAAGTCCCTAGCTGACAGTGTGGGAGGGAATGGTGTGGAGGAGGTTTGAAGAGTGAAGACAATGAGTGAAACACTTGCTTTTCCTCGAAGAGAGGCGATGCTGGCACAGGCGCCGACTTCTTTCAGTGGCCTGGATTTTGCCCCACAGCTTGTCCCAGTGCTTGGGCTGTAGCAGTAGGCCTGGCTGCAGTGTTTGACCCTCCTTCCACAACCAAAGCTCCTGGCCAGAGCTGACTCCTGAAGGTGACAAGGAGCTGGGCTCCGAGACCTCATCGCTCAGCCCTTCGCCCTTGTGACTGAGCACAGCAAAGACACATTGCCTGGCAATGCCCTCAACCTCCCATATGCACCCCCACCAGCACCCCAGTCCCTCCCCTTTAAGGCACTGGGCAGGCCCTGTAGGGGCATCAAAAGCAACTAATACCTCTTCAGGGCAGACTAGGCACCAGGAGCTTCATCTCATTTTGCTTTCAAACCAGTCCTATGAGGAACGTTGAGTGACCTGCTCAGGGTCACCTACGGTAGGTGGTAGAGTCTGAACCCATACCTCCGCTGCGATGGAGCTAGCCCCTGCCCTTCCCACTATACATTCAGCCTCTTTGTAGAAGTCACGTGAGATTTTCTTTCTGACAGCTGCTGTCAAGGGCCGCCCTCTTCCACCTCTGGTCTTTGCACTACCCTTGGATTGCCACTTCTATTTCTAGGACTCCTCAGAGCCACTTGGGAACATGTGGTAGGGGCTTTTACAGACTTCCTCTTCCCTCTGGAGCCCGCCAGCCGCCTGCACCTTCCCGGGTGAAACTGGCTGTGCTGCCCAGCTGGGACACAGACAAGACATTGCTTCACTTTGTCCACACAGAGGATGTGACCTCACAGAGGATGCTCAAGGAAACTTGATCTGTCATGGCACATGGCTCCAGGCCACCTCTGCTTCTCTCCCTTTTCTCAGCCTCAGTCTGGCTCTTCTTATGCTTCTGTGCCTCTGAACATGTGCCCACAGCCTGGAATTCCATTCCCCCAGCCCCCTCTCCTCTGCCTAACTCCTCTTTTTCTAGAGTCTGGTCGAGCAGACTTTCCAGCAAGCACTTCTTGATCACCTTCCTCCCTGCTGCCTGCCTGCCACTCATAGCATCTGCCATGCTGTCCTGGACCTCCAGGCTCCTGGTGGGATGCCCAGCCTTTGCATCCTCAGCACACACTACCTGCCTCATAGTAGGTGCTAGACACATGTTAGTTGCCTTTGAATGTGCTAAATACACTGGGAAAGAGATTGCTGGAGAGAGGAAAGTAAGAGTGCTGGTGAGGACCCAGCAGGTTCATCAGGGAAAAAAGTGGGTAAACATGGATTGTCTAGGTTCTGTAGCAAACCTCAGTGCCCTGAGGCTACAAAGGTCGATTTCTCACCAAAGCCAAATGTCCTTTGTGGACCAGCAGGGGGACTCTGCTCAGAACAGTCACTCAGGGACCCAGACTGACAGAATTACACTGCCAGAAAGCAGAGCTCTGGGAGGGTCTTGCATCAGGAACTAAATGCTTTGGTGGGAAACTCACATGCTCCCCCATCACAAGGTAACTAGGATGTGCAGTTGTCCCATGTGCCGGCAGGCAGAAAGCTGTGAAGGCTGGGTAGAACACGAGGATCTCAGGCACCTTCCTCCTGGTTCTGTTATGAGAAGCTACAGCAACGCCTTCAGCTGCCGATGTTATGGGCAGGTCTCTATCTGGGCACTAGGAAGTTCTCAGCTCTGCTCCTGTTCTAGTGTCGCTGTGGGAGGAGCAGGGCTGGCAGAGGAAACCACCAGGTGTGGCCATGGGAAAGTCCCTCCGACATTCTAAAGAAACATGGAATTTCCTGGTTTTAACCATTTTGCATCCAACCTGCCATCTCAGAGCTGACCAGAGCAGCACAGACCCCTCCAGACTCCTAGGACATTTGATTTGAGGCGTCGAGTCTTGGCTGGGAAGTTGGCATCTGGGTTCCAGCCCCAGCAGCCTCTGAAGAGCATGAGTAAATTACTGAAGTGTGTGGGCCTCCCTGCCTTCAATGCCTGTCTGTAAAATGCTTTCTAGGGCCCCAAACATTTCCAAATACATCCATGCCATCTAATCAACCCATGGAGTAGCTGTTATACTTCTCCTGTTGCTCCTTGATTTCAG